CTCTGAACTACTGTTATCAGTTAAAGAAGTGTTTGAAAAGAACATGTTTTGTTAATGCCTTTTGACAGATTAGGGCCCTTTAATGATGACTTGACATGAACATATTGCTACTTTAACACAAAGAGATCTAAATAAAAACACTCCTCAATCTCAATAATCAAAAACTAATTGAAATTGACTTATCGATAACAGTAACAACTTATTCAACGTCCTCCAAATACTTTACTTCTAACATTAAAGTAGCAATATGTAAGATTTTGTGAAAAAAGTGTTAAAGATTTGTTGTTGACAAAACTCTTGTCTATTCAGATGTTATGGTCCCAGCTGGATTCGTCTGCATATCTGGCAACCTGAGTCAGGGAGAGTGGGAGAGAGGTTGCAGTACCTAGATAGATAGATACAGTAGATGTAGATAGATAGTACTACTTTTGGCCAGATTTGTACATACTGCTCCTTTAAAGCAACAACACAATTAACACAAAAACTTAATTCAAATGTCCAATATACTGTATGTCAGAAATATGCAATCATTTCCCAGCATAATTCCCCGCCGTCGCACAGCCGCAGGTATAATCCAATATAATCCAATTAGACGTGGTTTAAGATTAGTCAGATGATCCTAGTTCCCTGCTCTTCCTTCAGAAAGTCTGTCGGAGGTCATATTCTCCTGATCCTGTGTGCTACAAACTCTCCCCATCGCCCTGGGCAGAGGAGAGACATCTACAAACTAGCTCGCTCGGGAGGATTATTTTTAGAACAAGCAAAATGTGCCCAGTTTAGAGCCAGAATATTCCACTGATCCATCTACTTTCCATCGACGCACTTTCAGCAGGCATTTTGAAGTCACTAATTCTTCAATAGCATGAGAAAATATCATTTAAAAGCAGCTAAAGTGACACCACATGGCAAGACTAGTTTATGTGTATGGCAAGGTTCATACACAAAGAAATTTAAAGTGCCTAAAAAAACATGAGAATTGGAATATTAAAGATGCAGGAAATGATTTATCCAGACGCCATTTTTAAAATACTGAGGGGGAAGCGTCCCTAAAACCCGAAAGCAGTCAAGTTATCATGTGCTTTCAAATAGGAATGGACATGACCAGACGCCTCAAAGAATACATAATCTATATATGCCATCCATCCATCCATCCATTCATTTTCTACCCTTTAATCCATTTCTGGGTCAGGGGGTGGCAATCAGAGATGCCACCCAAGTCTCATAGCACCAGCCCCTCACTGACCCTCTGCAGGTGGTGAGTCCACAGGAGGACGGCTGCTCTTTGACTGTGAGCATAGCCTTGATCTTTCAGTGGGGGCTTTTGGGCAAAGTGGGGTTAAGTGTCTTGCCCAAGGACACAACGACAGCAGTCATCAGTGGGAGTTGGTGGAGAAGGTGTAGAGGTGGGAATTGAACCCACGACCTTCTGGCCTTAAGGCCAATGCTCTACCAACTGAGCTACTGTCGCCCCAATCTATATATGAAGAAAATTAAATTAAAAATGTATCACAAAAAAATAAATAAAAATAAGTCTGACAGTAAATATGCAGCATTCACTTTGATAAACCACAAACAGGTCTGCAGCCAAGAGAATAATGCAAATAAAATTGAAAATGGTGAAATATAAAGTAGAAAACTGTAGTTTTCTACTGAAAACTACAGCTGAATTTCAACTCTAGCTGAAATGATATTGCATTTTACTAAAAAATATACAAACAGATTGATTATTTACCATAATTGTTGACTTTTGAATGCACTGGAAACGGCAGTAAGTCCTAAATGTCTCTGAAACTGTTGTTTTTTTTGTTTACAACTGTTATTTTTCTTGTTTTTTTCTGCCTGAGATGTTGGAGGAGTTCAGTGTTCATGGTTTTACACTGGTCCAGACCAGAGCAGAGAGGATTCATGGTTTTACACTGGTCCAGACCAGAGCAGAGAGGATTCATGGTTTTACACTGGTCCAGACCAGAGCAGAGAGGATTCATGGTCCGAACCAGGCGGATCAGGCTAAAATCCACCAGAGGAATGCTAACTTTCTTTTGAAAATGCTAACAAAACATTTAGCATTTCACTTTGGACCAGAGCAGAGAAAATGCTCCGGACCTAAAGTGCTGTTTCTTATCAATACTAATGCTAGCTTTTTACAATGCCCAATGTATTTGTTTTGTTTGTGTGGATGGATGTGTGTCTGCTGCTACTGCAAACCCAAATTAACAGGGATCAATAAAGTATCTATCCATCTATAATCTTAATTAATAGAATTGTATGTTATTTGTCTGTAGTGTGGGAGAGATGGTGGTAGTAATAACAAAGGAGACAGAAGGAGAAGTGAGAAGCAGAGATTTAGCCATATTTAGTTCAAGAATTTAGTTTAAAAATAGCCGTGAGATGGATGGAACATTTATCAAAGCAGAATCATTACTTTAAGCCTAATCGACACAACATATACAAACAATAGTTACAGATGTCTTGGCTGTACTGTTTTTAATCTTGAACAAACAAAACTGATCAAACGGGAGAATCATATCTTAACTTCTACATTTTGAAAGCCTTTTTTACAGCATCCTATATACAGCTTACGTGAAGTGCATCTAATATATCGCGGGGTGAAAACTCATCAGGTAATTGACAGCTTTGCCTCGGCGTTACGTAAACATATTGATCGTAAAGCAGCGTGGAACATGAATTCTCCACGAAGTACCAACAGCGAAGGTCTGCTGTATTTCCTGTGCTACTTTAGGACCGAAGAAGAAAACACAACAGAAATATATTATAATACCAACATACGTTATACCCAATCGATCCCAGTCGAGAGCTGTTGCCTAATTGAGCTGGCTTATCCAAATTCCTGGTTTCAAACAGTCCTGAGGAGGCATTGACAGAGAAATGCAAGGAAAAAAAGCAAAATCTTGATGGTAGCGTGGTCATAAGAAAAGCCTTTTGTTGGTGTGTGTGTGTGTGTGTGTGTGTGTGTGTGTGTGTGTGCGTGCGTGTAAAAAACATTGCCGTCGTACCAATCATTTTCACTTTTGTATGTCTATGTATCACTTAATAATAAAAAATAATAATAACATAAAAAAATAAAAGCCTTTTGTTTCACCCCAGGCTTTTATCAATCTCTCTTTTGTTGTCACCACTTTGTTGCTATTATTATTCTACAGTTCTCGCCCCACTGTCAGCAGCAGCTACTCAAAGCTTTAATAAAACATTTAGATTTCGGGCGATGCGTTTCCTCTTTGTGGTTTATGACCTTCTCGATGCAGCCCACACCAGTCCAGTAAAAACAATGATAAATGTAGCGATCGTTACACAAGCAGCGACAACAAAAACAGTATTTGTCTGGAAAGGAATTACGTTTACAGATACAGAGAGGCCTGATGCAATTTCAACAAGTTAAGTGTAATGTTAGAGAAAAATACACAGCGTTTGACAAACAAATGGGCAGCAAAGATTTCATAACAACGTTCAATATCGTGATTATCGTTATTATGCATAGGTTATTTACTTAAATTAAACTAAAAATAATTCAAAATAGAAGTATTTATATGTAAATTTTTATATGTGTGTTGTGTCAGTTTTGTCAGGTTCAGATGCTCATTTGATGTTGGCCTCATTTATCTGTATTTTTGATTTTTTTTTTGGCAAATTAAAAAAAAATTGTGTGTTTTTCTAATTATAGAAATAGTTGTTAATCATGGGAGTAATAGATTTTTTTTTTTTTTTTTTAACAGATTTTTTAAACAGACACAGAATTAAAATATGCCATATGTTGTATGGCCTAAACACAGATGTGAATAATGCAGAATGAAAATAAAAAAAAAACAATTACATACAACTTGTTATGAATATATTCTTGAGTGAAATCAGTTTGCTTTTATTTTGGCTTAAAAAACTCTCTGGTCATTCATGATCCAAACAATTTAGTAATTAATGGAAAGAATCAGATGCAGCACCATTAATGGATAATCAAAATGACAGCCCAAATGCATAGGCCTTTCCGAGACACACCTGCTCTGGGGTACTTAGCTTATACTTTTCACTGTTTCGTTCCCGGACACACAAAAATCAACATTGCCAAAAAAAAAAAAGAAAAAAAAAGTGAATATTTTTGTGTATAATAATATGTGTGAATATCAGCAGCCTCAGTGAACATGTCTGATGGAGGCTGTTCAGGGAGAGCTCTTTTGATGACTAATGCAGTTAGAGCAGAGGAGGCTCAGGTCAGAGGCTGGAGAGGAGAGAGGAGGTGTGGAGATGTGACAGCGCCGGCTTTGCATCAGTACTACCACTAATGCAGCTCCTAAAGGTACAGCATTTATAGGGAGGGGACATGAGATTGGGCCCACAAGACTGAGACGAAATATTTTAAATCAATCACAATATGAGTCCGGAAAGATATAAAAACTACAGACATTGCCAAAAGCCTACTATATCACGTAGTAGTTATAACAATGGCAATTTTAGGCAATGTTTTCAAAGTATTCCAACACTTTCAAACGGGTTTCCAAAGTAATATCACAGCAAAAACTAATGATTGGTTTCCATAATGCACAGAAGACACCTATGCTTACAACAATTCAAAATGATAGGCCAAAAGTCCTTATAATTAAGAAAAAAAAACATTCTCTGCAGGCCTTTTGATCTATTGACTCAATGCGTAATATATTCAAATAATACTAGCACCACTGATGTCAGACCAAAGCTGCTTAACCTGCGAAAGTTACATAAGAGCAGCGGGTGTAGCGCTGTGTAATACTGTAAACACACACGACAAATGGACAAGCCCAAAACAACAAACACAAGTGCAAGAATTGAAGAGGTTCTTGTTTTATTTCCATTGCAGCGGCCGCTCATGGTCTCAATGAACGCCAAACACCAAAGAACTAGCAGCAGATTACGCGTTGTAAAAATGTAATGAAGTGTGCAGAGAGTACACCGTATTTCATTCACTTTTCGCACAAATCCATTGAGTAAAACGTGCGGAGCTGTCCCTTCAGCACCACCGCGTCCACGCAACACCAACCCACCGCTGCGTGCGCTCAGACACCTCCAGGCGCGTTTACCCAGAGCCACGGAGGCTGGAGAGTTTGGAGAATCACTAATGACAGGCGTTATTAGGTGAATGAGGCGAAGAGCAGAAGTGGTGTTGGCCTACTTACCATCCATCGCCATGATGTTCTGTTTGGTTTCAACCAAAGAGCGAGCTCAAGAAGGGGGAGCGGCCCATTGCGAGAGCGGAGCGGGGGAGGCCAGGGGAATGGTACGGTCCCGTTTCCAAGCAGGTAACTATCTTTAAAAAAAAACACACACACAAGGGTTAGGGTGGACAAAGCAGGCTAGTCATACCTATGCCTATTGTTTGAGTGGAGGCAACTTATTCTTCTAATTATCGTCATTTTTACCACTTACCACTCAATATGCAAATCAATACAAATAAAATGATAAATGATGAATTGGCTATTCAATAGATACAGATACATCAGGAGTCATGCCAGGAAGAGAAAAGTAACAGGTCTGTTGTGATTGGTTGTACATTCTCGTCAGACCTTGTCTAACCTCTTCATGAGTTTCTATAGTAATAATTCTATGTATTCTTCTCTTATTTTGAATTTTAACTGAAACTTTGGAATCTTTTTACAGTGCAGAATACTATAGTGTGATTGAGAATAGTGTGTTCTAGTATAGACCACACTAGACTTAATACTAATCTAAAACGGATTAATATTTGAAATGGGCTCATTGAGGTCAAGGGTTCCTGTTCAGAATCTGCTAGACTGAAGAGCTCCACCTCCTCATTGCATTTTGTCGCCAGCATCATATTTGCATTTATAATTTAGAAAATACTAAAGAATGACTCAACAATATTCCATCACATTGAAACCTTTGTTAACTTTTGTTTTCCCAAAATTTAGGAAAGAATCGCCCTCCTCAAAGGAAACACAAAACATGTCTTCTGTGTTCCTGTTGACTCCAGGAAGAGTCGCTGTGTTGAACAGCTAATGGAGATCAAAATAAATACAAATAAATACAAAATACCAGAATTAAGATAAGACAAGAGATCCTTTATTCGTCCCAAAATTCAATGTTGCAGCGCACATGCAGGACAGAGAGCACACAGGGAGCACACAAAATAAGTATAGCTATGTTTCTTGACGATCTGTAAATGCTGTAAATGCCTCAATACCAGTCTAAGCAGAAGGACCATTAGTTTAGATGATCCACCTGGAAGAAGAATATCCTCCTACATGTATTAGGACGGTATGTCAATCTAAAACAACAAAGGGCAAAATTATCTCATTTAGACAGTTTATGACTCAGCTCATGATCCGACACCATCTTTGTGCTTGTGGTGTAAAATCATGTGTGAAAGGAGTTAACAAAATGGACACAATGGTTCTGAGCTTTTAAGGCACTTAGCTCGTCTCCCTGAGCTCTCCTCTCACCCACATCTCTACCTCTGCTCCTCATCAGCGCCGGTGAAATCAGGCGACCCATGTTAGAAACCATAGACTGTATATAGACATTAACCAATGCTAACCGGCCCGAGCTCAATGAAGCCCATGAGGGAAGTGCTCATGAGTGAAGTTTTGCCTGCTGTGGCTCCTGAATTGCATTGACACTCACTTAACAAAACCAAACCTCATTACTTGTTGTAACTGAAGATGTTGATTTTGAAGTGATTTGTTGGAGGTGTAGAATCTGTGTGTGTGTGTGTGTGTGTGTGTGTGTGTGTATATGTTGTGTTGTGTTGTATGTCCAACCCAAGCTCCAGCGATTCAAGATGGCGGCGTATTCAAATGAATGGTTTGTGCTCAGTGGCGCTTGTGCCGGCACGGTCGCTGACATATTAGCGGAACTCGTCATATCACTCGCTATATTTGGGCATCGCCCTGGTTCTGCACAGTGGATAATCTCCCATGATGCGTTGCGCCAAATATGTGTGTGTGGGTCTCATGCACGGGCACAGAGGGGCTCGGCTGCGCTTTGACCAATCAGAGCAGTTCATCAGAGCGGGAGTTAGAGCGGGAGCCAGACGAGCAGAGTTTGTGGCACTAAAGTGTGGATTTAAAGAAAACCGAAGGATTTAAGAGGAAAAAAAGTTCAGGATGACAAGGGACACTACAATCCCCACAAAATCTGACCTTTGTGAAAGCTGTAGGTTCTCTGTCAGCTGAGGTCGAGATGTTATAGTTTACATTGAGTTCTACGGGGAAAATTTCTGGGTCGCCCGCACGTGAATTTAGTCTGGTCTAGTCTGCAGTACCGCGAGAATCCCCCGAGCACGTGGGTTCTTCAGCTCCAAGCTAGTAATACCCTATCCAGTTATTATAATAGATCCATGGTCCCACCCCCTTTCAAACTGTGCATTCTGTGTATACTGTGTAAAATCTAAACAATGAATAGAAAAAAGGATTCATGATAAGGCTTTCCCATCCTCAGTTTTCTATTCGTAAAGACAATATTGTGTGTTATTTTCCAGCGGATTCCTTGAGCCTTTCTGCCCGTCTGATCGAGAGTTTCTTTGAAGCTTATTTTAAACTCTCCATGTTGTCATGGATACACGGCGCAGCCTCCAGATCAGATTCGGCGAGGCTAAATTAGGTCATTTTCCAAAACTACGAAGAGAGAGCCGGAGTTGGCCGCAAAAATGTGGTAATCCTAATGGACATGTAATTAGATAAGAGATGCTATTGTGAGACGATCCCAGTCTGCGGCGTGGACACGGCAGAATCTTTGGGGAGACATTTCCATCCGAGACTATAAAACACAAAAAATAAATAAAAATCTGTCCTCACACTGTTAGTATTTACTTGAAATTGAGAAATCTCACAGCAGAGTAAAATGAATTAGAAAATGGGGTCATAGATAGATACTTTATTGATCCCTGTAGGAGAAATTTAGGTGTCAAGCTAACAATAGTAATGATAAAATGCAACAGCCCTTCAGGTCACAGCAGCAGAGGTGGAGTAGCCTCTGGGTGGAGCAGGACGGGTCACAGCAGCAGAGGTGGAGTAGCCTCTGGGTGGAGCAGGATAGGTCACAGCAGCAGAGGTGAGTAGCCTCTGGGTGGAGCAGGACAGGTCACAGCAGCAGAGGTGGAGTAGCCTCTGGGTGGAGCAGGACAGGTCACAGCAGCAGAGGTGGAGTAGCCTCTGGGTGGAGCAGGACAGGTCACAGCAGCAGAGGTGGAGTAGCCTCTGGGTGGAGCAGGATAGGTCACAGCAGCAGAGGTGGAGTAGCCTCTGGGTGGAGCAGGACAGGTCACAGCAGCAGAGGTGGAGTAGCCTCTGGGTGGAGCAGGACAGGTCACAGCAGCAGAGGTGGAGTAGCCTCTGGGTGGAGCAGGACAGGTCACAGCAGCAGAGGTGGAGCAGGACAGGTCACAGCAGCAGAGGTGGAGTAGCCTCTGGGTGGAGCAGGGCGGGTCACAGCAGCAGAGGTGAGTAGCCTCTGGGTGGAGCAGGACAGGTCACAGCAGCAGAAGTGGAGTAGCCTCTGGGGTGGAGCAGAATAGGTCACAGCAGCAGAGGTGGAGTAGCCTCTGGGTGGAGCAGGGCGGGTCACAGCAGCAGAGGTGAGTAGCCTCTGGGTGGAGCAGGACAGGTCACAGCAGCAGAGGTGGAGTAGCCTCTGGGTGGAGCAGAATAGGTCACAGCAGCAGAGGTGGAGTAGCCTCTGGGTGGAGCAGGACAGGTCACAGCAGCAGAGGTGGAGTAGCCTCTGGGTGGAGCAGGACAGGTCACAGCAGCAGAGGTGAGTAACCTCTGGGTGGAGCAGGACAGGTCACAGCAGCAGAGGTGGAGTAGCCTCTGGGTGGAGCAGGACAGGTCACAGCAGCAGAGGTGGAGTAGCCTCTGGGTGGAGCAGGACAGGTCACAGCAGCAGAGGTGGAGCAGGACAGGTCACAGCAGCAGAGGTGGAGTAGCCTCTGGGTGGAGCAGGACAGGTCACAGCAGCAGAGGTGGAGCAGCTTCTGGGTGGAGCAGGACAGGTCACAAGGTGGAGTAACCACTTGGTTCATACCATTTTTTCTGCTCTTATCCAAAGTAAAATGCTGAATCCTCCATGTACATAATAACTGTGTTCCTTCTCTCAGTATTATAATATTCTGTTATTCTGCTTTTATTATGAACAGTGTTTTAACATTATTGCTCGTATGTTTGCTGCTTTTTGTGCATACAAGGATTTATATCAAACATGTTAATAAATGATAAAGAGTAGAACCTGAACACAGCAAAGATTATAAAAATACCGACAACACGAGAATAAACTGGAGCGCCGTTACCATAGTAATGGCTCCCACACAACACAAGTTGAGTGGACGGCTAAATTTCAGCTGTGGGTGAAACCATCTCATGAACATATTAGACAATTATTTGGTTTTTATTCCATTTTTATGCCATGGACAACAACATCAGGAAGGTATTTGTCACGGGGTGGAAAGGAGGAAGAACCCAAAATGTAAGAATGCCAAAAAGGATGGTTTAATGATAATAATCAGAATACTTTTATTGCCTTGTGAGAAACAGGAAGTCACTAACTGGGAAATTGCTTTGGCTCTCGGTGCAAACAAGTTAAAGCAGAATAAAAACAAAAAGGCATGCATATAAAAAAAATACATACATTTCCATTTCCATAATTGATAGTCCAGGGAAAAACAAACACCAGAATACAAAACAGAACCAGGAACAGGACTGACATTGACGATACAATGGACCAGCAACAAGAGGAGCACAGGTACAAATAGACACAGAGGGACACAGTCATCTTTATTCGTCACAGACCAGAGTCACAAAGAGCTTTACAGAGATGGGAGTGGGGTTGCCATACAGGAGGCGGTAGGGGAAACCGGAGCACCTGGAGGAAACCTATGCAGACACAGGGAGAGCAGGCCCCCTCAGAAAGGCCCTGTTTTGACCGAACCCAGGACTTTCTTGCTGAGAATGCTATCCACTCAGTCCACAATCAACACAAACGAACAGGACGTCAAACTAAAACAGCCCCACAGAACTGAAGTCAAAATAAAAGTACAAAAATAAAATCCCCACATGACAGTATTATTTTATCGACAAACTGTTTTGAATTACAGCAATAAAGATAAAAAGAAAGCATGTAAAAATCAAAGGCTACATGTTTTCTATTAGAATTCTACTCGTTTGGTTTACTAATGCAGGAGATTAAGGGGGTTGTAGAGCTCTAATAGCCACAACAGCGCCCCCACATGGCTCAGAGAGTAATTACAGAAGTTTGAGCTTGAGTTGAGACAGCTGCTGCATGTCCACTCCGCTGCCCCCGCACACGATGACCACCACTGGACCCAGAAGAGCAGGCAGTCGTCCTGAGCACACAACAGACACACATACGGTGAGAAAGATGAGTTTTTATTATTATGTCACCAAACCTAAGACCAAATAGTTACTAGAATGCACCATGGGATTATGGTTTTCGCAGCAAAAATAACAAACGAATGTCACTTCAAGAATATAAAGTTCAAAAGGTTTAATTTACAAGTTGTAAAACCCTAACCCTATAATACCATAGGTCCACCCAGGTGCATGAAGATCCCCCTTTATCCCCTACGTGCCACTAAACTAAACTAAACTGAAGTCAACTCAATATAATCTAATCTAAAATATTGCAATAAAATAAAATAAATATATAATCAATCAATCAATCAATCACTTTATTTATCCCCAAGGGGCAATTAAAAAGCACAGAGAGTTGCAAGTTACATTCCAAAAAATCTCAATAAATAATACATGAATACATACACACACACACATTCTGATTAAGTAAATGTTTGGAGCGTTTAAACCCTGTGCTGGGGTAATGACGGGTTCGAGTTCAGCAGCTGAATCAGTATTGGAACAAAAGTGGATTTCCTCCTCTGCGTCCTACATAATAACTACAAAACAAAAATATAAATAAAAAACTTAAATAAAAATAATTAAAGAAGCAGTCAGGGATTTTTTCCAGACGCTTTTTTTTTAAATATTGTGGGAAAACGTCCCTAAACTCTAAAAGTAGTCAAGTTTTCATGTGTTTTCAAATAGAAATGGAACTGACCAGATTTCTATAGTCTACAAAAATTAATAACAAATATTATGGAGCGGACTGATGAAAATAAACCAATGGGATGCGTTTACCCCCTTCAGCCTCTTCCTGTTTATCACGAGTGCACCTGAGTTATCGGATTTTCTAAAACCTAAAATGGCTGAACAGAAAATGCCAATTTCACGTTTGCTCCACTCTCCCTGTTGTGACAAAGAAAAGAAAATGCTGGATGTTTGGTTTGGTGGAGAGGGAGGGGAGGGGGAGCGGTTTCCAGTTGGTGCTACGGCTAATGGCGCGTTCAGACCGGATCATGCGTTGCGTCGGCTTTCAATGCAAAGTCTTTGGTGACGCGCGTTGCAGCGTCACAACACACGGACCTCTCGGCACGCACGGACGGACTGTTCAGTAGAGACGCCCACAGGAGATGGATTCTGCTCATCCTTTCCTTGGGACGTTCGTGCGACAACCAATCAGAGAGCAGCAAAGTGGTCACGGGGACATTAGCGGACTGAGCGAGCAGACTGAAAATACTCGTAAACAGCCAAAACAGGACCCACACCAGACTTCACCAGAACTCAAACCAGGGTTGACAATGGGGGACTCTGTGCTTGTGAAAATATACGTTGTCATGCTCCCGTGACCTTATGCAACTGCTTCGAGTGTGTTCGCCGATGCGGAAATACCGTTTAATAATATGAAAACACGTATGGCGCACCTCCGTGAACACATACTACTGTTATATAAAGCCCATGGAAAGTCTCTGTTCAAAGACACGCTGCAAAGCTGCATATTGGAGAAGATCTGTACACAAGAAGCCGCTAGCATAGCTCTGTTAGCATTAGAGCCAGCCCGCTACTTCCGATACTTCTGGCTCGCGTCAGGACGTTCTGGTGTGAAGACCCCTGCGTCTGAAAACTACAGAATGCGCGTCTGGTGAGCGGGGCTTCCGCGTTTGAGCGTTTGCAGTCTGAATGCAACATAAGCTAACAAAATCGCTTACTGCACTTTTAAATTAATTTAGCACACAAAACAAACAGCTCCTGTAGTGGTCAGTAAGTTACACATGACGTCTTATGTGAACTATTTATGGGAATGATAAACTTTGAGAATGCATCGTATTCTACTGTAGATGAACTGTTTAACTCTGTCACCTCTAGTGTTTTGAATGTTCTGGATACCGTTGCCCCTGTGAAGGTTAAAATAGTGAAAAATAAGCAGAAGGCGCCGTGGGCTAAAGCAGACTCGGTCAGGGCACAAAAGAGAAAGTGCCGGAGGGCCGAGCGGAAGTGGCGCAAGTCCAACCTCCAGGTTGATTACGAGATCTTCAAAGATAAGTTGTGCGAGTTTAACCGGGTGCTACGTAGTACGAGAGAAAGGTATTTTTCTGAAATGATTGAAGGCTGCAGCAACAATCTGCGTGTTCTGTTCTCAACAGTTAATAGATTAACAAACCCCCTGTTCAAATGCCATTAGAGCTTACTTCCAAACGTAAATGCAATGAGTTTGCTCATTTTTTCAATGACAAGGTTCAAGGCATCAAAAACGCCATTGTCTCCAATCCACAGATAACCATCCAACAGCCAGAAAGGCTCTCTGAGCTAACTCACTTTGCACTTGTAAATGATAAAACTGTCCAAGAGATAATCTCCAGTTTGAGCTCCTCCACATGCAGCTTGGATGTACTACCCACTAGATTTCTGAAGTCTGTTCTGAGCAGTCTGTTACCTTCACTCACACAGATAGTAAACATGTCCCTTCATTCTGGAATATTCCCAAAGGCCCTGAAAACTGCAGTCATCAGGCCCCTGCTAAAAAAGAGCAGTCTCGATGCTACGGTACTTAACAACTATCGTCCCATCTCAAATCTGCCATTTATGGGGAAAGTCCTTGAGAAAGTTGTCTACCTACAGCTTACTAGATTTCTTATAATCAACAACTCATTTGATATGTTTCAGTCCGGCTTTAGACCCCACCACAGCACTGAGACTGCTCTCGTTAAGGTTACAAACGATATCCGGCTGAACACTGACGCAGGCAAAGTCTCAATCTTAATCTTGTTAGATCTAAGTGCTGCCTTTGACACCGTCGACCATGAGATCCTCTTACAGAGACTAGAGGACTGGGTTGGAGTCGCTGGCACCGCCCTAAGTTGGTTTAGGTCTTACCTTGAAGACAGGAAGTACTTTGTGGAGATTGGAAACTGTGTCTCAGATCATATGGCCCTGACCTGTGGAGTCCCACAGGGGTCGATCCTGGGACCTCTTCTGTTCAATCTCTACATGCTGCCGTTAGGTCAGTTAATACGCAGAAACGAAGTTTCCTATCATAACTATGCAGACGACACTCAGATCTATGTCTCACTGACTGCAGGAGAACATGGACCGGTGGACTCACTCCTTCACTGTATCCAACAGATCAGTGAGTGGATGCAAAACAACTTCCTTCAGCTAAACGCAGACAAAACTGAAATGATTGTCTTTGGTCCCCAGAAACAAAGAGAGAGCGTCATCTGTCACCTCCAGTCTCTCTCCCTAAAACCTTCAAACCGTCTCACATCTTCCTGAAGATGTGAGACAGGCCTCCTCTCTGACAGTGTTTAAAACCAGGTTAAAGACAGTTCTGTTTAACTGTGCATACAACTGAGGGATTTTATATTTTGTTCTTTTCTTTTTAATGTTCTGTGATAATTTATGATTTTAATGCTTTCTTGTTTTGTTCAGCACTTTGAATTGCCTTGTGTATGAATTGTGCTATATAAATAAACTTGCCTTGCCTTGCCTTGCCTTATGTTCACAGAGGCTCGAGAACATCTATCAACGTGGAGATATTGGTTTGTTTGTATGTTGTTTGGTTAATTGTATGTAAAAAAAAAAACACCAAGTTGAATGTCACACTGTGAAACAATCAAACTAATACAATAATACAAATGTTTTTTACCTTCAGTTTGTAGTCTGTTAATCAGTCCACTATAGACAGCAGCAAGTGCAGCTCCACACGCCATCTCCACCAACACCCGCTCCTCATCTGCAGGACACAAAAAACACCTTTGTTCATGTTTTACTGAAATGAAAAACACTGGTATTTTAGTCCACAGTTTTAACAATAATACGGCGTGTAACTGACCCAGAAATGTTTCCATAGCGTGCAGAGCCTGCTGATCTGTGACCAATTCTGAAAGGATGTTATATTGGTCGGACTGGCTGCATTCAAAGGCCTTCTGACAAACTGTTTTTGCTCCGAGACATTTCGCTTCACTATGAACAAACCCAAATAGAGTTTAGAAAAACATTCGTAAAATTCTGACATATATATAATATCTAAAAATAGTTAAAGAGCTTAAAAGTTTTACGACATCAAACTCATCTTTAACATAAGTCTGTGATTATTACAATGCAATCATTAGTTACTACGTCTAATTGTGAAAGCAATTTTAAGAGCAGCAGAATTTTTAATGCTTCTCCATAAGGTACGGTAAGGTATACATAGAATATATGGTATTTTACTTGTTACAGAGAAGAAAATGTTATATTTTATTGCAACATTACTGAATTTAAAATGGGAAAGGGAAACATAACTTGAAAATTGGCGTTTATCAGCTTTTGGCCATGTTATAGTCATTTTCCCTTGTCATTCACACACACAAAGCTGATTTAGCACCAGTCATACATATTTCAGTTATTTCATTACAAGCGCCACCATTGCTCTCCCCTCAGTCCTCTGACTACCGACACTGAGCCCATCCAGATACAAAAACTAGACAAAACAAAACATAGAGTCCGACCTCGTGATGTCGTCTAAAGTGACCAGTTCTCCGGCTTTCACTGCAGCGTTGAAACAGTGAGCTCCTATCGTCTCCATGGCGATCACCGGCACATCTGTCCATCCCAGCGTCATCAGACCGTGCAGCACCCCACACAGCAGCCCCCCTCCTCCCACCGACAGCACCACGGCTCCCGGCTTCAGCCCCAGGGAGCAGGCCACCTCTGCCATCACACTGGCATGGCCCTCCCTGCAGCCAGAGCGGGGACTTATCTTAGTGGGATACAACTCCTGGTCAATGTACCTTTGTTTTTTTTTTTTTAAATAATACCAAAGTACACCAAAATAGTAAATGAAATAAAGTCTGGAGTAGTGTACATGAGGTAAATGTCACAAACAGGGAAGAAGTCGCAAAATGTCAGCTCTAGTTGGGGTTATCTAATTTATCCATTTGTTCTAAATGCAATAAAATGTATCTTTTTTAATGTTTATAATACAGGTTAGCTTTTCTGTTTTATAAATCCTGTGTCAATCCAGCCGTCAAGTGTGGGCTGTGTGGGAGTCAGCCATCGCTTAGGAGTATTCTCTTTTACTTGCCGCAAGGAGGATTTGTAGATACTTTCTGCCAACTTTACCCGAATACAAGCCCTCAAAGATCAAAGGAATGACGATACCAAACACTGAACTCAGACTTTTCTTAAATTATCTCCAATCCCCTTGTAATTTCGAGCAATATGTGGAATTATTCAATATTATTTGCCGCAACTTGGGTTTGCACTGAAATGGAGTTTTGACAAATCCAATGATATTCTTCCAACAGTGCTCTCTCCCGGTAAGAAAGGCAGTTGATGTCCACAGGGAAGCAGCATGCTAGCTCATTCGGTCAATTTACTTTTACAAAAGCTAAAATAAGAAAAAATATTGAAGAAAATGGAGTTCTAAAATAGACCATTGCCAAAAAATAAAAAATAAATTAATGTTGCTATCATAAATTACTATGAGACTAGTTACCTTGGCATTTCAGATTCGGATTGATTCATTTTATTTGCCATTTGCAGTAAAACCACATTGGAATACTGTCCCCAGCGTGCAGCAGACAAATACATAGGTAAGTGCAAGATTATTAAAAGATTATTAAGAATGTGAATTAATATCCCAAGTCAAAAATATATGGTGAGACAATAAAGAAGGGTAAACAATTATTTCTGTAGTATAATTGTACCACCAGAGGAAGGTGTTGAATTATTATTATTTTTGTCTAACTTTGAAAATTTTTTGTTTATTGTACTGTTTTAAAAGGCAGGAAACTGCTCTGGCATGATACTATTTCAGAACGGAGGCAGAAGCGTTCAGACAGAAGGGGGCGGAGCTACAAGTTTGTGCCTGAAGTTTCTGATATTAGATGGATCTATAAAGAACTCCAAGTCTGTGACCGATGAGGGAATAATGTTGTATGGTTCAGAGCTCAAAATTGTCCATTCAGCATAAAATTTCTCCTTTAAAGAAAAGAATGAGACAAAAAAACTTTTATATGTACTAATCATCCCATAGACATTGTGTGGGCTGTGTGGTTTTTGTGGAAACTACCTTTATCTAAGTCTCACATCTGCAGCCCATGTTCAACTAGGATGTAACACAATTTACTTTTGATGAACTTAAAACATACACAAATATTGAATAACCAGGCACACACCCGAGCTCTGGGCGCCTGGTGCACACTGGGTTAGTCTTGCACAGTTTTTCCAATGTGGTTTTACTGCAAAAGGCAAATAAATTCTCGAATCTTGAATCTAAACGAAATGTAGTCATATTGTACAGGTTTCATCAAGTAAAATGGACAAAATCATAAATGTGTGTTTGTTTTCATACCAGAGAAGTGGATGATCAAAAGGAGAAACATATGTAAACCCGTCCACTTCTGCCAGACGAAGGGCTTCTTTATTGGCATCATCCCAAACCTAATTGAAAAAATACGACAAACATAACGTTCTCTTGCAGTTGGAATAAAATAGATTATATATAGATTCATTGTTTTAATCTGACCTTGCCTACAATCTTAACCGTGGCCCCCTGATCCTGCATTTTACGGACCACCATTTCAGGAGTAGAGGAAGGGACCACGATCATGGCTGGCACGCCCATTTTTCTGGCAGCATAAGCCGCAGCCATGCCCGCATTACCGCCTACACAAAAACTCCAAAATCAGGACCACATATACATCAAATCTTAAATTCTACAAATACCTGAAGAGCAGACCACGCCTTTTGACTGACTGGCAAGCTGAGAGAATTAAGAAGGGCCAGAAGTGATTATGCAAAGATGAGATGTGATTTGTTCAGTGTAATTATTCCCAGGTTGTAGTGTGATTAAATGAGCTTTACTTTTTGGCAGAGGTGGCCTATTCCTCGGATTTTGAAGGAGCCAGAGGGCTGGGAGTTCTCCATCTTCAGGTATACAGTGGTGCCCAGTCGTTTGGACATGCCAGTACTTTCCAGAAGAGGAGTGTTTACATGGAAAGGTCCAGCCATTCTGCTCCTGTGCGCTATCAGAGGCAAAGAATCACAACTTCAGGCCAATATGTTATCAATAATAACATTTTGGCTAATTAATAACTTGGTTTGCATTGTGCCCTGGTTTATTTGATGTAGGCTTAGCAGTGTTTCATATGCAGGGAATGGTGTTTATGAAATGTTACATCATTGGAGGATATTGGCCACAAATGTCAATAAAACGAGAAGACTTAAAAGAAACAGTTGGAAATTGACTAATACTACTTCCCACTGACCTACAACTACAAACAGACGTATATATCTCTGCCAGACAATTACAACTGTGGCTGTAATTAGAGTTAAGTCGTTCATGTGTTTAAAGATGTGTACAAATGAATACATCTATATTTCTTAAATATTAAATATCAGAATCAGATTTTTTTTTTTGCCACGTAAGTAACAAATATGTGAATTCATGTCCTAAAACTCGCCTTTGGACAAGAAAATTGTAGCATGATCTTGCAATAACACTAAAGGAAGTGGAGGTCCTGCCAAAGTGTATCATGGATCTGTAAGAATATCGAGGTGTATACATACATAGGTGTACAATATACTATCATAGATCCGTGTGCACAATGCGTAAATGTTATAATACGTTCTACGTCATGGTGCTACGTCCCTTAGGACTTCGCTAGTGGGATATCACTCGTGACCCCCAGGTCACACGCCAGAGAGATCAAAATAATTTGCTCCAATCACCAGCCACCTTCCTCTATAAATGCCCCTGCACAAGGCCGCACCCCCTCTTTCACTCTGGCGCCGTTCGAGATCTACCACAGTACTTACTTCATTCTGAGATGTCTTCCTTGTTCGTCCGAGTTCCCTTCGCCCTCCGGCGTCGGACGTCGTCACTGGATCCAGACGGTGGAGGACTTCACCTCTGTGGGCGCCACCACTCGAGGGAGGAGGAGGATAAAACCCACGTTGTGCCCGCGGATGGACCCGTTCGTCCATTACGCGACACGTGAGTGGCCTAAGCCCCTAGCAGCCAAGAGGCCTGCTCTGGGGTACGACATATACTGCAGCGGGCAGGACTGGTCCTGGACCGGTGATCGAGGATTCAGTCCGCATGGCCCTGCAGCCCTCCGCATCCGTGTGGCCCGGCACCAGACCTCTCCTTCTCTCCGAGCGGGACAGGATGTCTTGCCGAGGCTGGATAGATATTAGGCCAATGCGGCACAGGTCGTCACATTGGCTATCAACATGACTTTCATCACGGGGGCCCTGGATAGGGCGCTCTCCTCTGGCCAGGCGCTCAGTGGAGACCTCCTGTCACAGGCGAGGACCACCTCGGCGGCGATCCTGCGCATGGGCCAGACGCTAGCCGTGGATGGTGGCCAGGACACCGAGGATTCAGTCCGCATGGCCCTGCAGCCCTCCGCATTCGTGTGGCCCGGCACCAGACCTCTCCTTCCCTCCGAGCGAGACAGGATGTCTTGGCGATGCGGATAGATGTTATGCCATTGCAGCACAGGTCCTCGCATTGACTAACTACATGGCATTCATCACGGGGGCCCTGGATATGTTGCTCTCTTCTGACCAGGCGCTCAGTGGAGACCTCCTGTCACAGGCGAGGACCACCTCGGCGGCGACTCTGCGCATGTGCCAGACGCTAGCTGTGGATGGTGGCCGCTCCATGGCAGCAGCCCAAGTCGGGCCAGGCACCTTTGGCTTGGGCTGGCTAATATCAGGGAGGCGGAGAGGAGGCAGCTGCTGGACCTGCCCACCTCTCAGATGTCCCTCTTCGGCCCGGACATGCAGGCCTGGGTGGCGAGACTGGAGTCTGCAGCTAAAGACTCGGCTAGGCTAGCCCCGCACCTAGCACCGAGGCGCGAGGCCCACCAACCATCACGGAGCCGGGACAGAGGTCGAGAGCGTTGGCCCGGGAGGCATCCTGACCCGTATCCGCGCTCTGTTATCCATCGTCCCCCCTTGACGAGGCCCCCGGGTCCAGACAGACCCATGGGTGGCTCGCGGGAGCAACGCACCCACCACCGACCTCCCTATGGTAGAGGAGGCCGGGGTGAAAAAATTTTTCCTTCAATAAAGGCCGACCGGCATTTCCATTACTTTTCTGAGTCTGATTTGGGGGTATGTAACATGTCAAATATTGTGAATTCTGATTGTGTTACTTCCCGGGCACATAACGTTGCTTCGCTAGGCCTGCAGCCCCAGAGAGGGGCGTGCAGTGCACTACGAGCTCCGGTTTCTCTGATCCATACTATGCCCTCCCAGAGAGAGGTCAAGCGGAGGGATCTGGTGAGTGATATGTGTGTGCTTCGGCCGAACGCGTGTTAGCATTTTTGAGCTACAGGGCTAACACGGGGTTTCCCACTCCAGGGGCTCGCCCCCCCCTCCATGAGGCAAGAGCCAGGGGGGGGCACAGCAGCCGAGTCACGTGTGGTGAGCAGAGCTACAAGGCTGACACGGGGTTTCCCACTCCAGGGGCTCGCCCCCCCTCCATGAGGCAAGAGCCAGGGGGGGGCACAGCAGCCGAGTCACGTGGGATGAGCAGTCCCGTACTTATGACGTCGGGCCTGCAGGACACGTGACCGCCCCCGGCGCTCACGGTGTGACGCAGGGTGCCCCCCCCGGCCCTTTCGTCCACCCCCCCTCCCTGCTAGGAACACCAGGAGAGGGCGGGGCCGTGACGTCTCGTGTTCCAGCTCCCGTTCCGCTCCTCACAGACTTCTACAGCATCTGGAGGGAGCAAAGATGGCTGACATATCTATGGCGGGAGAGAACATTGCGCAGGGGTTACGCACTGCAATTCTCCCAGAAGCCACCACCATTCCGAGGCGTACGGGCAGCACGCTCTCAGGTAGGGGGTCATTAGAGGCACTGCAAGCGGAGGTCTCCTCTCTGCTGAGCCTAGGCGCAGCAGTGGAGGTAGACCCACAGGACGCCACCAGGGGGCTGTACTCCCCTTACTTCTTAGTGCCAAAGAAGTCAGGCGGGGTGCGTCCCTTTTTGGATCTTTGCGTGTTGAACGAGTGCATTTCCAAACGGCAGTTTCGGATGCTGCCCACAAAGCAGCTCCTCGAGTGTGTCAGGCAGGGAGATTGGATATCCTCCATAGACCTGACAGATGCGTACTTCCACGTGCCGATAGTACCGGAACACAGGAGGTTCTGCGCTTCGCAGTGGGAGAGAGGAATTACGAGTACTGTCGTTTTCCCCTTGGGCTACGCACTCGCGCCGTGGAGCAGGGGTAAGAATTAATCTACATAGACGTCGGGTTAATTCTGGCCTCACCCAGGGAAGTGGCCGTGAGTCATACGCACTGGGTCCTGTCTAGGGCTGGGCGATATGGCAAAAAAAAAAAAATCTCCGATTTTTTCACACCAAATCCGATTTTCGATTTTAAATCGATTTATTTTTTTCTATTTAAAAACAAACTACAACTGACAAAGAAATAGATTTTCCTTTATGCAGCTTAATCTAAATCCCCATGGAGCATAAGTGTAACAGGAATTAAGCCTTAAAACATGCTTGTAAACGAGATGGCTCTGCCATTGTAAACAGTGAAAATGTAGCTTAACAGTTTTATAATAACTTTACTTACAATGACACTATGCACCTTCAAAATAACTTAAATCACACAAACAAGGCCCATCGCAAATATATCAATCCTATTAAACACATGCATTATTTACATGAAATATCACATTTTTAAAACTGATTACTCAAAGTAGAAATGTTGTAACAGACAGTCTTTTCCAAAAGCCTCCTCGGGTTTTCATGCTTGTTCTTTTAACTGTGCCTGAGTAACTGTGCTGTAGTACAACGCTCGGTCCAGCTGGTGGCGCTAATACTAACTTCAGTGACTCCCGCATTGTGCGAGCTTCCTGTTTACATTCTGATGCTGTAGCTAACAGCTACTGTAGCAGCTACTGTAGCTAACAGCTACTGTAGCAGCTACTGTAGCTAACAGCTACTGTAGCAGCTACTGTAGCTAACAGCTACTGTAGCAGCTACTGTAGCTAACAGCTACTGTAGCAGCTACTGTAGCTAGCAGCTACTGTAGCAGCTACTGTAGCTAACAGCTACTGTAGCAGCTACTGTAGCTAGCAGCTACTGTAGCAGCTACTGTAGCTAACAGCTACTGTAGCAGCTACTGTAGCTAACAGCTACTGTAGCAGCTACTGTAGCTAACAGCTACTGTAGCAGCTACTGTAGCTAACAGCTACTGTAGCTAACAGCTACTGTAGCTAACAGCTACTGTAGCAGCTACTGTAGCAGCTACTGTAGCTAACAGCTACTGTAGCAGCTACTGTAGCTAACAGACAGCGGGGAACACGTTTTTTGTATCAGAGCAATGAGAACAATGTGTGAGACGTGTCTTTCCCAAAGTGCAGCGGCTCAGTGGGACACGAGTGTGTGCGCGCCACGGACACGGGAGTGCGCTTTGGAATAACGAGCGTGAGAGAGCGTGAAAGATGTGGCGTACGAACATGGCGTACGAACATAGCGACCGGGGCTTGCGTGCGTGTGTGTGTGTGTGTTCTGGCGATTAAATAAAGTCTGATTCTTGAATGTTTGAAGTGTTATTGCAACAGCACCAACTGTGAGAGCGAGCATCAGGCCAGAGGGAGACTGTTAGCATTAGGTTAGCTTCAAAATGACTGCTCAACACCATAGACCCGCGGTTAGCGCGTTAGCGCTGTAGTTCTGCGCTGGAGAAAATAAAAATCGAATTTTTTAAAAAAGAAATCGCCCTAAACGTAAAACTCGAATTAATGATTAAAATCGATTAATCGCCCAGCCCTAGTCCTGTCCCACATACAGCGCCTGGGCTTTGTGGTTAACAGGGAGAAAATTAACAGTTACCTTTGTAACTTAAGTTCTACGAATAGGTGCACGTGATATCCCACTAGCGAAGTCCGCTAGGGGACGTAGCACCATGACGTAGAAGCAGGCTGCAACCGGCTCAGCGCATGATCTATCTCGGTCTGCAGCTAGACTCTGTGACATTCCGTGCTGCATGGTCCGTGGACAGACGGATGAACACTACCCGTCTGCCCGGGGAGGTTCTGGCGGGCCCCAGAGTCCCCGCTCGGCGCCTCAGGTCCCTGCTGGGAATGATGGCGGCGGCTCATGCTGTGGTGCGGCTAGGCCTTCTCCACATGAGGAATTTTCAGAGGTGGTTCTCACGCCTCAGGCTTCACCCCTCCCGGGACGGGGGGAGGCTGATCTGGGTTCCCCAAGTGGCAGCATCGAACATCAGGTTCTGGCTCACTCCGGGTCTTCTACGGGACGGAGTGACTCTGGCCGGCGCCGTGTCTCACGTGGAGATGTTCACGGACGCGTCGCTCGAAGGATGGGGCGGGGTCCTCGGCCAAAGTTCTGTAGGAGGCTGCTGGTCGGACTCAGCCCATCACATCAACCTGCTGGAGATGGAGGCAGTGCACAGGGTACTGCTGCACTTTGCTCCTCAGCTGCAGGGGAGACACGTGATGGTGCGCTCAGACAACACCACAGTGGTCTCCTATCTGAACAGGCAGGGGGGCACCAGGTCCCCCGCTCTCCATCGCATGGCAAGGGTGACGCTGCTGTGGGCGGCGCTTCACCTCCTGTCTCTCAGGGCGCGCCACGTCCCGGGGGTCCGGAACGTGGGGGCCAACAGGGGGGCCGACGTGGGGGGGGCCCACTCTAGGACGAGTGGGGCCTGGCCCCAGGGGTGGCTGCGGAGATCTGGCGGAGGTTCGGCCGTCCAGTGGTCGACCTTTTTTTCGCCAGTGCAGGAAACGCACAGTGCCCGTCCTGGTTCGCCTCAAGGGCCGCGGACCAGCCGCCTTTAGACGTGGACGCTCTGGCTCATTACCCCTGGCCAGGGGGCCTGCTGTACGCGTTCCCCACCAGTGCGTCTCCTGCCGGTCCTGCTGCGGAGGATCGAACAGGAGAGGAGGTCGGTGATCCTGGTGGCGCCGGACAGTCCGCATGCTCGGTGGTTCCCCTTCCTGAGGGGCATGGCGGTGATGGAGCCCTGGGCCCTCCCGGACGAGCCGGGGGCTCTAGTCCAGGGGGGGAGGAGCCCTGTTTTCACGCCCGATAATCGGCCGCAGGCTCTGGGTTGGAGGCTGAGAGGCGGAACCTCGTAGACCTGGGTCTTCCCCCTGCGGTGGTGGAGACCACTCAGGGGGCGAGGGCGCCGTCCACTGTGAGGGCCTACGCCACGAGGTGGAGGCTATTTAGCGACTGGTGCGGTTTTCGTTCCTGGGATCCCAGGCGTTGCCCGCTGGAGGGGGTCCTGGGATTCCTACGGGAGCTCTTTGACAAGGGGAGGGCTGTCGCCACCTTGGCGGTGTTCGCGGCAGCCATTACTTCGGGTCACAACGGATTCGGGGGGTTCACAGCCCGCTCTCATCCGTTGGTTAAACGTTTTCTGCGGGGGGCACGCAGGAGGAGGCCCCCGCTCCAGAGAACGCCCCGGTTTGGGACCTCAGGGTGGTCCTTAGGGGGCTGTCGGGTCCGCCTTTTGAACCGGCGGCGGAGGCGAGTCCCGAGTGTGTCGCTTTAAGACGGCCCTCTTGTTGGCGTTGGCGTTGGCGTCTGCTAAGAGGGCGGGCGACTTGTGTGCGCTCTCTGTCCATGCGTCTTGCCTGTCCTTGGAGAGGGCGACGGCATGGTGGTATTGTGGCCCAATCCGGCTTTTCTCCCCAAGGTCATCACGTCGGCCTTTAGGTCGGGAGTCATCAGGATTAGGGCTTTCTATCCGCCACCGCATGCCTCCCCCGAGGAGGAGCGGCGGCACCTTCTGTGTCCTGTCAGAATGCTGAGGCATTACCTGGCCATGACGTCGTCATTCAGGTTGGGTGGCCAGCTGTTGTGTGTCTGGGCCCCAAGAACAGGGGCGCCCCGCTGTCGGCTCAGCGGCTGGCGCACTGGGTTGCCACGGCTGTGCGGCGGGCGTATCAGACGCAGGGTCTGGCCCTCCCGGTGGGCTTCAGGTCGCATTCCACGCGTGGGATGGCGGCCTCTACGGTCCTTCTCAGGGGGGTGTCGGTCGAGGACGTATGCCGTGCGGCTTCTTGGGCTTCGTCCTCCTCTTTCGTCCGGTCTTATCTTTTGGATGTGTCGGACCGGTCGGTGGCCCATTCCGTGCTGAGTGCAGCGGACTGAGGTAGACCGTTAGGTCCCTCCTCTGAGGGGGCCTTCGGTTTGCTTTCCGCCCTGGTTCAGGAGCTCTTGGGAGAGGCATCCTACAGGTGCGGTACATATATGTGTGTTTTGGTCGGTCTGGTAGTCCACGTCAGGAGCCCTTGGGAGAGGCGTCCTGTGACTACGGATGACCTATATCTGTGTTACGTGGGGGTATCCTTGGTAGGAGTGGCCCTGTAACACGCATTGTTTCTTCTGCCCTGAGTCCTCTCACTTTGTGAGGGTCTTGCTCGGGCGGAGCTCCAATCACCCTTCGCTGGCCTGTTGGGAGTACATTTTCCTACGGCCTCCGCGTTGTGTCCCACTAGCGAAGTCCTAAGGGATGTAGCACCATGACGTAGAATTAATAGTTACTTAATGTAACTTAAGTTCTACGAATAGGTGCGTAGTCCCTTAGCTACGAGCCCATCAGGCCAGCCCGGCTTGGCAGAGTTCAAGAGGGGGTGCGGCCTTGTGCAGGGGCATTTATAGAGGAAGGTGGCTGGTGATTGGAGCAAATTATTTTGATCTCTCTGGCGTGTGACCTGGGGGTCACGAGTGATATCCCACTAGCGAAGTCCTAAGGGACTACGCACCTATTCGTAGAACTTAAGTTACATTAAGTAACTATTAAATACATCCGTAGTTCTTTACAAGAATCTCAGTTATTTCACTGATTTGTAGATCATGAACAAATACCTTAAACTTTACGGGAAAATGAAGACAGCACTTTGATAGTTAGCTTCAGACAAATAATGACAGATGTGAAATATTGTTTGTGTCGCGTGTTTACATCTGCCACATGCTGCCGAGCGCGTCACTTCCGGGTTTGGATTTCAAAATAAGGTGAAGTCTGAAGTATATACAGTCTATGGTTAAGCCTTTACAACTAAAGCAGTACTTACTTTACAACAAAGTAATGTCGAGAGGTGGATACAATCGGATTATATAACCAAAACACATTACAAACATAATCGTTCATATTTTATTATGATGTTAAAATGCATTTGTTGGTCTACTTGAAATAACAAACAGGACAGCCCAGATACATTTGTGTGAATGTGAAGTGTACGTAAATGTAATTATTGCAGCTATTGCCACAAGTATAATGCTATCTTATTTACAATTTCAAGTTAATTTCAGCCCAAGTTTTAGGTCAGGATTCAGAATGGGAAAATAAACTTACATACCAGACTTTTGCAGAGAATGAGCGACGCAAGACCAGAGGCGAAAGTCCACAGATAATGACTTCCACAGAGGGTAAAGGTGACAAATATGACTTATGTGGTAGAAGTCAAATAAAAACACAGATACATATGAAATAAGCAGACTGGATCCCTGGATGTTGTAGTATATTTATACTGTACACTGAATCATTATTTATGCACAATATGAAATGGTTTAGGCCTACATTTACATAGAAGCAATGTCAGTCTCAGTATAAACATACATCTCTTTTCTGTACACTAGGTGGCAGCAGTGAGTGGCGCACTGTAAACTATAGTACAGCATTTTTATGAAAAACGATGTTGAAAATATTACAGAGCAGTACAATCGATTACACACATCGATTCTATGTTATATAAATACTTTATGTAAAAAAAGAAAAATATCAGACTTGTTTCCACAATGTCACAATCACTCTTCATCTCTCATATTATCCAACTTTGTGGGATCATTTCATTCATCACATTTAAATCCTGTCCCATAGTAAACAGCATTTTACACAGTTTGTCCAGCATATACTATACATAAAATAATTATTTGTTAGTGTAACAGCCATTTTATATTAGTGAGAAATGACACAGCATAGCTTAATAGTTTTCTGCCATTTCTGAAACCAGCTTCAAAAAATATTCCTCTTCATTTTTTTTTTTAACCAAACCTGAGAACCAGTCCAGTCGCCAAAAAACATTCATAACTGACTTCACTTGAACTTTCTTTGCACCTGCCACTCTCCCTCTACACATACATCCACTTTCACCAATGTTCAATCATAGAGCGTGCAAACTGTTTTCACTGCATTTGAAGAGTGCATGCTTCTTTTCAGTGGCACACATTACAAAGATGAGCACTTCAGCCATTACAAAAATACATTCTCGCCCAAAGGTTGCATCCAAATGTTGCGTGGATTCTGAAGCATCTCTCTCATGCAGCGATAATATTCTGTTGGTTAAAATGACACTCGAGCTTCTTCATTTTCATATTCAAACAAACAAAAAGAGGTCCATTCGTGTTTGCGCATCTCCACTTTCATATGTTGATCTCTCTTTTGCGATTATGCCTTGGCTCCCTGCTCTTTGCCTGGCAGTTCATGTGGCTCCGGATCTGGGCCCTACGCCAGTGAGCGCTGTCTGGGTTTGATCCTGGGATACAGCTGGAGAGCAACGAAGAGACAGAAAAGAGGATTGGGTCAGTGCATCGCATAAACACACACCACAACATCACATCTATATCAGGATAGCTCCAAATAAACAAGAATTGGGGCAGAAGTGGCTCAGTGGTTTGTGCATTATGCAGCGGTTGTGCCTGTTGGCAAGACACTAGTCATGGCTGTGCATGGAGTGGATCATGGCGGTCATTAGCAGTGGACAGAAACAAGATAAGATATACTTTATTTGTCCCACATTGGGGAAATTTCAATCTAATTTGATTCAATTTAAAGCTACTGGTTCAAATTCACAGCTGCATAACTGAATAGTATATATTTTTTCAATTATGTGTATTACTATTAATATGTGTAATTTTACTTTGGACTAGAGCAGAGAAAAGGTCACAGCAGCAGAGGTGGAGTAGCCACTGGGTGGAGCAGGACAGGTCAAAAGATGGAGTACCTTTTGACCTGTCCTGCTCCACCCAGAGGCTACTCCACCTCTGCTGCTGTGACCTAAAGGACTGTTGCTGATTATTACTATTATTATGTTTTTAGAATGATCAATTATTTAATTTTTTTTGCTGCTACTGGACACCTGAATTTCTCCTGCGGGGATCCATAAAGTACAGTATCTATCTATCTATCTATCTACTAATACAGTAAAAACATACTTGTTGTCAGCCTGGTCATATTAACATACACCAAATAACAAAAAAAAGACCAAAAACAACGACAAACATTCACGTATCCGTCCACAAGCATGTTTTCTAATAAGATGGAGACAGCATTTTGAGACCAGATTTGTTCACAACATTTTACCTCTACAAACAAAATATGAGCTGAGGGCAGAGCTAGACAACCATCCCAGCTTCACCTGTATCTAAACCACACCAACTACATTTTTAAAGAACGTACATTTTGTCCACAAATACTGTAGGCCACACTTGATTATGAGCCACAACTGTTTTAACTGATCACAGCATCATTCATGGACTTGTTACTGTAGGTTCAAAGCTCTCTAGTAAAGGACCTGATAATCTCTACACAAATCAACTTGCCTTGTCAATATGGTACATGCTAGCTCTCTGTGCCAGTGCTAAACCATTTGTAAACATTTAGATTAGTCTGATTTTTACCAATATATTCTGCTTTTGTGTTTTGAAAAAGTTGCCAAGGATATCAATAAGACTCATTGAAGACAAACCCTACAGTATATCATGGACCTGTGTGGACTTTCTGTTCATTTATCTGGTTTTATTTTGATATATATTTGTGCTCTTGTTTTGAGTTTAACTTCCTGTCTGTCATGTTGATTGTATGTGTGTGTCCCTGTGTGTATTTAGTCCCTGTGCTCCTGTCCTCTTGCTCGTCCATTGTTGTTTTTCTCGCCATGTCTTGTCCCTGTATTTGACTTTTTTCTTCTTTTTCATTTATTTTCTTGCACCATTTATTATGAATCCTATTATTTTTGCAGTTCTGCTTTTGGGTTCTTCCTTGTTTATCCGTGACACCCTACATACAGTATGAGCAGGTGAGGTAACGGAGCTCTCTCTCTGTACAGAGTGAGACAGCGTTCTATAGAGTAGGGCACAGCTGCAGTATTGGACAGCTTTAATAAAGTAGATCAGCTGTTCTAATAAAAGCACACGGCATAAGCGTTATAGAATGTGTGCCTCTGTACTCCCCGAGGCATAAATTACCCTCTAGATATTTTAGAACTCAGAGGAGAGCTGTATTGTATAAATAATGTAAGCTATTTTTATTTATAGAGCCAAAACCCTATATCATGTACCATGTGTAATCAAAAGTAAACCACATTTCCCAGTTTTGTCTTTTGTGAGAATAGACAGGAGGCTGTAGATCCATTCTTTTTTAGTCAATTAGTCAAACAACAACAATTTATTTTTGCTTATCTGACTAATCAAGACACTTAACCACACTTTGCCTTTAAGGAGCATGGAAGTAATTGCCTTGATGTTGATTATGTGTATTCATCTAACTGAAATTTCCCCACTGTGGGACAAATAACTTCCTTCTTCTTCTTCTAAACTCAGTCAATAATCATTTCCTACATGTACGTCTGGGTCTGATCCTTGTGTTTACAGTCTCCTCAGTTGTATCCCCTCCGACCAATCAGCGGGTGGGGGAGGTGGGTGTTGTTGGTTGGTGTCGTTGACATCAAGAGTTTGCACCGAATTTGCTGGTTGTCGTTTGGCGGCAAGTGCGATAGTAAAGTAATCTGTTCTGGTTTGGCTCCAAATATCAAGAAATTGAAGCCAGAGCAAGAGGAAAGTTTAGCAAGTTTCATTGCTGGTAAAGATGTTGTGCTCCACTCCCCACGGGCTCTATCAGTGGCAAAGGAGATGGTTAAAGCTAGGCTAAATGCTAAATGTCGCACTCACTCGGGCGCATTACATACATTGCGGTAAACTCAGATCCAATCGTTTGAATATGAAAAAGGAGTTAACCCCTCCCACCTGTTGTATGATGGTGTGATAAAGCCACATGGACAAATAAAGGAAATATATCAACTGGTTTTCGTCAAATTTTGCTCAACTTAACTGATCTGCAAAGACTTTTGTCAATCAATTATTTCTGGAGATGTCAACAGCCCTGAGTGATTGAATCAGCTCCAGATACTTACCCCCAGCAGGTTGCGGGGCACGTATCCCTCGCGGTCGTTGAGCCGCGCCCACCACCACTCGGTCTCTGTGTCGTCGCGGCGCCGCAGCACGGAGATGGCGTCCCCCTCGCAGAAGGACAGCTCGTCAGACTGCTGCGCCGTGTAGTCCCACAGGCCGTACACCAGGCCTTTGTTCATCACACCCAGCTTCTCCTGCACGCCTGCGGACAACAGGACAATGGACTGATTAGACACACAACATTATTGGGTCTGCAACGACAACCAAGACTAAATTGTAATATGTATTTTTCCGTCAAATCACTCTATTTGGTGAAAGCCTAGTTCCCGTCAGATCAAAGGAGCTAAGTAAGTGTGTGGCCGCAAACTGCTGTTGTGTCCTTGGGCAAGCCACTTCATCCAAATGACCCAGTCTGGTGTCTAATAGGTGGTGGTCAGAGGGGTCACTGGCACAGATTAGTAGCCTCACTTCTGTCAGTCTGCCTCGGGGTAAAGAGTCACATTTATATTACACCTTTTACCTTTCAAGTAACTCTGATTCACACACAGTCATACACCAGAGCACAGCAACACTGGGGGCCATGTGAGTTAAGTGTCTTGCCCAAGGACACACATTCACCAATACAAGCTACTGCTGCTCAGGGTAACTCTAGACAACTCACCTGTGTTGTAAACGTTTTTGTTCAAACCAAACGTCCACATCCGGTCATATAATTCAAAAACATTATTACAGTGCATAATCATCTTATATACTGTAAACATTAACAGACATACTGTAGTCACGTCACTCTTGAAACTAATGTGCCACCACCAACAGTGGGCTGTTTCAAAACGGCCGCGGGGCAAGAAAATGTGAAAAAATGCATTTGCACATGAGGGCATTCAAAAGTCCACAGCAGCTAAACTAGACTGGTCAACAACAAAACACTACCCTCACAATTGACAACATTTGGAATGTAGCGTTGGGTCCAGAGAGACTTTTGGACCATTCTGTAAAGCCGTTTTTAAGAGAAAAGAAGACGCCACACAAAAGCATTGGGTAATTCTCTTTCCAGGTACACCCCCACCGGCCCGGAGTGAGATTGCAGCATGACAGCGCACGTGCTCATAGACCTTTTAGAGCCGGGACCCGCACCCACTGGTCCATCTTGTGAATCCCTTTTCTGTAATCTTTTTTATAATCTTATATATACGCACGTTCTAAACTTACCGTATAAAAACTGTGAACATTGCGTGTATCCCTCCTCCATCTCTTCACACTTGTCTGCGGCCGTCTCCACGTCACTAATAGTTGTGGCGAAAATAGCCGCCCCGGATTCCACCAGCATCTTGCACAGGTGCACGCTGTTGCACGAAGCCGCGCAGTGCAGAGGCGTCCTGGGGAAAAATGAAACCGTCGATTGTAGATGAGAGACGGCGACGTGTGGCCTCTGCTTTAGCCTTAGTCCATAAGTAAGACACACAATTAACGACGACATAAAAAATTAAACGACATTAGCTAAACTTGAATTGAGCGGAATGGACCATTAATCATTTTAAGTGAGTTCTGATATGGAAGCTTATTAGGCTGATGATCATTTCCTCTCTATTTGGAAAAGCCATTATGACGGCCATTGTTTCTTACAGACTGATCATTAGCAGACGCCTTCACAAAGCACTTCTCCTTAGCAGAAATGGCTAAGTGACATCGGGCATTTACTACATTTTATTCTGGCAATTTCATGAAGCTTAAGTGCAAATTCAGAATGGAAGATACTACAGTTTCATCCCACCCAGGACCAGCCCCTACATCCTCAGCCAATTACACAATCAAAAGGCAGAAAAGTGTCATATAAGTGGTAAAATTAATGTGGATGGATCTCAAAACAACTCCAGGTCTGTTTTTTAAGGAGGGAGCAATGTTGTAACATGGTTAAAGAAAAAAGTTGATTCTGCAGAATGTCTCCTTTAAGTAAGACATAAAGGAGACAATAGTTTTACCAGAGTACCTAGGACTAGTACTTTTGCCTCCTCTGCTGAGTGTGTCACATGACTAAAGGCCCTCACCAGCCGTCACTGTCCGCCGCGTTCACGTTCACACCAAAGTCGAGCAGGAACTTGACAATGTGGTGGTGACCGGCGCAGACCGCGTTGTGCAGGGGGGTGATGCCCTCATCGTTCGGCATGCTGGGGTTCTCCACCTGAGACACAGTAAGTAGAAATATTTATTCATATAGCACCTTTCACAGACCAGAGTCATAAAGCGCTTTTGACGGCTGTTGACGGCTTTTGTCTCTCACTCCACACAGAGATGGGGGTGAGGTTGCCATACAGGAGGTGCATGTCAGACCTATTGTACATGTTTTGAGTGGTAGGAGAAACCGGAGCACCCGGAGGAAACTTACAGAGACACAGGGAAAACATACAAACTCCACTCAAAAAGGACCTTCTATCTATTCTATCCACTCTATCCAATATTTGTTTTTATAATTTCATAAAAAAATATATCATCAAGAGGAGGAATGTTTTGTATCGCAAGGCAGTTGTAAAGAACATCATTGGACTAGAGAAAGCAGCACTAACTAATCATGAGGCAATACTTTTGTTTTTAAAAGTGTAAAACGGCTCTGCCCATGATGTCATTGTAAGGATTGGTCATTGTCTGCAAAGTTTGAGACAGAAGCGAATGCCAGAATTTCTGAAGTAAAAAACAACTAAGTTTTGAATGAGGGAAAAATGTTGTAACCTGGTTAAATAATCAAAAAACAAAACAATTTGTCCATGTGAATCTCTGTTTCTACTATAATTCAAGCTTTCTGTTATTTAATGTTGGTGGTTACTGTATGCTGCATTATAACTAAACATTGTTGCTGGACATCAGAGTAGTTTGCAGAGTGTGCTTGTACTTCTATACTATAATTTCACTTTCATCGTTTATAATAATAAATAATAATGCATCGGTTTTATCACTCCGTACACAGTGGTGATAAACTATTACTGTAGCCACAACTGCCCTGTGGCAGGTCAGAAGCAAGGCAACCAGTCTGTGCCATTGGCCTCTCTGACCACCATAAACCATTCACACACACACACACACACACACACACACACACACACACACACCAAACTCATTCTAGGCAATGTGGGTGAGACAGGCCTCCTCAATGACAATGTTTAAAACCAGGTTAAAGACAGTTTTGTTTAGTTACAACTGAGGGATTTTATATCTTTCTTTTTAATGTTCTGTGATTATTTATGATTTTAATGCTTTCTTGTTTTGTTCAGCACTTTGAATTGCCTTGTGTATGAATTGTGCTATATAAATAAACTTGCCTTGCCACTTAAGGATACTGCAACAGTTTAGCACTTTAAAGCAGCAGCCGCCTCCACTGTGGCACCTGATGTTTCCAGAGATCTCCCATCACAGTTCTAACCACGTCCTGCCCTGCTTAGCGTCAGATGTCTGACGGGATCTGGCTTTCAAATGCAGGTATGGCCATGTTTTCAGGTAACTTGTTATTATGGTTTCCTACAGTATATTCCTGCTTATTTTGACTGCCTTGAAACTGCACGGTGAAATGACTAGAGGTTTTTAGTATGTTTTTTGTGAATGGGGTCAAATGTTTACTTTTAATTGCATTGATGTTATAATCATGTTGCCTTTTATTGCTACAAACGAATCTGGGAACTTTCAAATTCCACCCAGCTTTATAAAACATTGGTGTGTGGGTGTTTTTTGGCTGGCAGCATGATTGTGTAACCGTACAGTGAGAGGTAGAATGTAGGTGGAATGACATTTTAATGACCTCATAAATGATTCTTTGCACCAGGTCAAACTCTCCTTCCAGAGACGCGTCCAGCAGCAGCGCCAGAGGGTTGAACTTCACTCTGAGGCCGTGGCCCGTGCGCTCCGACGACGGCTTCTTCAGGTTGGTTCTCTTCACCTACAGACCACAAGGTAAAAGATCTCAATCCCATATTCAAGTTTTTTGTGCCTAGCAACGACCTAGTAACCAAACTGCCAATCAGGAGTGGCGCTGTTTTGTTCATGTTTGCCTTTCTCGCTTGCTTAAAACAATTTGGGGACAAAAAGCCTCTGACGGTTGGGAGACATGTTGGAATTTCCAAAGACAAAGTTAAAATAAAAACCAAAATGGTGAGTGTGACACAAATGGTTACAGAGCTTGAGGATTTTACTTGTCAATTGTCAATGAAAGGGAAAAAGGAGCCAAAGTGTGTGGGAGCAAAACTTTGCTCATGAGTACTTCCCTATTGGCCTTGTTGGAGCTAGCGCGTGAGCACTGTCCGTTTGTATACAGTCTGTGAGTCAGACCAGGGAAAGATGGGAATGATTTTACTGGTGGAAAAAATCCTTCAGTCTCAGAGAGATTTCTCAGACAATAAACAGACTTGTTTCATTGTGAAAAAATAAATAACTAATAAAAAATAATGGGTTTTAATAGGCGTAATAAGTTTATTTTTTTATGCATCACAGAATTATGAACATTTTCAGGAGCTGGAGAATCAAAGCAGAAATTATAACCCAAATATTTTCAGGTAAATAAACCTATACAAAAGTTTATTTTTTTTCCAGTGGCTTAAAGCTTGGGTACTTAACTTTCGAAGTAAGTACGCTTTATTTATTATATAGCGCATTTTTACAGACCAAGGTTTTACAAAACGAGTTACAGTTCTGAGTTCAGATATTGTTTCATTCACTCCACTGCACGTGATGACGGAAGCGAGACCGTTTTTAGCTAGATGTTTTTAGTGATGGGGAAACCTCAGCACGTGGATGAAACCTACGCAAACACGTGCAGAACATGTAAACTCCACTCAGAAAGGCCATGTTCCGACCGGGATTCGAACCCAGGAGTGCTAACCACTCAGCCACCGTGTTAAACCACAAAAGTATTTAACTACTGTAGCTCCTCGCTCTCAAAACAGTTTAGTTCATTCGTTTTCACATGTATGTATTTAGCCTCTGTTGCATTATCTGGTTTGCTTTTTCAGACAGAAAAGTAAAAAAAGAGAAGTCCACTCTCAATCAAATCCCGAGCATCAAATAGTGACAGCACAGGACTTTTTCTTATATTTAAATATGTTTTCTAAGAAGATGGAAGACAGCCTGTTGTGGTCTGATTGGTTCTCTATTTTACTCTAAGAAGTTAGGTTCCCCAGCTTTTGTTGGTTTGTGAAGAAATGAGGACTGGGGGATTATAGCAATTCGTTCTTTGTACCATAATAATGTAGATGTAGCGCTAATGTTTGCACACTTCTGTCTTTTTGCACAATCTGAGCGTTTCTATCCATGCCAAATGTGACATGTACATTTCTTCATTATCTTATCTTACCTTTGGCTGTGCTGGTGCAGCCGGAGGTGAAGGTGACGGTGAAGGGTGGCCTACAGAATGGCGGGCGGGGCTAATACTCTTCTTGTTATTATTGGGGTCCTCTGCTCTGTCCGGCGTGGGGGAGGAGCCCGGTGGTTTGGATGGGGGCACGTGATTGGCTTTTTCCGTGTCTTTCGGGGCTTCTTTCACGGCAGATGAAGGGGAGAGGCGCAGGTGAGGGTCCGCGCTCTTCCTGTCCACGTCTGGGGCAGGAGCGGGCGTTTGCTTATCGCTCGACTCAAGACCGCCGTTGGAGAGCTGAAGGCTTTCCATGTCGCCCAGTAAGCATTCGGGTTGGTAAAAAGTGTTGGCTGGAAAATATTTATGATAGAGGTTAGTGTACCCCACTCAATATCTATGTATTTAGTGAGTGCGGCAAAAGAAATAAGGCTTAAGTACAAACCTGAGACTCCTTCGATGCCTCCAGCCAGAGTGTTAAACCTAGAATGAGAATTTAAAATTAGTTTTGTTTAATCAGGTTTGTGTCTTCAGTGCTCCTGGATCAATTGCTTTTTCTCAGATTCAGATTTATAAAAATTTTTTGCATTTGGCAAGGCAAGGCAAGGCAAGTTTATTTGTATAGCACAATTCATTTGCAGTAAAACCCCATTGGAATACAGCCGCAAAAGTTGCCACAAGACAAGCACATAGACAAAACAAGGTTAAAAGAACAGAAATAAAACAAGCAAAACAGGGAACAGTTGTTGCATATTTGTCTTCAAGATCAAATATGCAAATAATATTAACTTTGCCTTATGCCCCTTTAAAGCTGGGGTACCTAATTGGATCTTTTTCATAAATATGTCATGTCGTTTGTAGCACGCAGAACCTTGGGAGTCCCTATTTCACACTTTGGGCTGAGAGCTGATTGGCTGAGACTTGTCTGTTGGAAAATGCTGGTGTCTTCCTGAGGTTCTGATCAGCTGTGCATAAAACCGATTATTTGTTGTGCTAATTATTTGTCTTAATTAAGAGCCCAGAACAGCACTGTTTTATTAATGAACTGCAGTATATTGATGTATTTGCTGCATATCTGTTTTGTGCATTCGGTGAACACTATCTCAACACTCGGTTAGTCCACTCCTAATACACAGCTTTTGATAAATACATAAAAAGTGATTCAATTGTTGAGAACGAGGAACTAAATAGACAAATGTTATTGCATAGATCATTTGTTTGTGGTTTGAAAGTGAAGTACCCCAGTTTTAAGATTCTCATATCAAGTCAATTAACATGCACACGGTTTCTCTAATGTACCGTATGGACTCGAGTTTGCACAAGTTGCTTTGGATAAAATAGAAAATGTCCAAACTTGAGACACCCTCAGTGCAAGAAGGAGCGCTACCCAGGGCCTTTATCCCCACTGCTGTCAGACTGTACAATAAGTCAGTTTAAGTCACTAATGCACTAGGACTGAAAAAACAGCACTGCCTTAGCCACTCTGTCTTTTATTGCCACTGTTTTATTGTGCATAATTATATCCTGCACAGACTATATTTTTTAATTTTAACATGTTGCACACTTCTGTCTTTTGCACAAATCTGAGTGATTCTTTCCGTGCCAAATGTAATTTTCTCCAGTGTGAGATCAATAAAGTCCATCTTATCTTATCTTGTGCAGCTGTTAGACTGTATGGTTAAATATGTTTAAACGGATAACGATCATGAGCAGGTGAAAACGTACACTTTTAAATGACTCCAAAAGCTTTCAACAATTCCACATTTGGCCATTGACATATTTAATGTGGTGCATTCATTTGCGTACGCCGCTGACCTTTGGTATAATAGTTTCTGGATGTTCGGCCCCTGTGGCCCCTCTGGTTCCGTAATTGAGCTACGTTTCTTCAGGGGCCGAGGAGCGTTGCTAAGACGACGGCGGAGAACCTCCAAGTCTGCATCGCTCTGATACCTGAGCTGGGAATGGGCTGTGAAGAGAGAAATGAACACACTATAATATACCGCAAGTTTTTACTGCATGAAGGGACCGTAAATTACTTTGAACTTTGGGCCCCTTCTTTCACACACCATTTCCCTTAGTTTCACAGTCCTACCACAGAGCGCCTCGATACGTACCCACTGGAGTGAGTTTAGTGGGGCTGAGGGGGCGGGGGATGCTGTCCACGCTGGGAGGAGCCGCCGCATCACTGCCCTCCGCTCGGACTCCATCTTTGTCCGGGACGTCTTCAGCTTTGAGTCCGCCGTGGAGGAAGGGGACCGGGGACGGGGAGGCGGAGGAGTTCGGGAGGATTGGTTTTCCGTACACTGCAACAACGCGGATAAACTTACAATATGATATTATTATTACTGTATTATTACATATCCATCTGATACTTCAGCCATTCACTCGTCACTTTATGTCAAACCATGATTTCCACATTTATATTTTCTTTTTTTTACATCCACAAAAGCTTCTATCAGGAGTTAGCAACCTGTGGCTGGAGACACATGCAGCTTTTGCCTCATTGTAACGCCTCGGGCCTTGACGGTAAATACAATCATTATATTAGGATTAGGATATTATTCGTGGTTTCATTAATATATGTTGTTTGTTTGTTTTTTACGGGCATGTCCCACCGGGAGGAGACCCCGGGGGAAGGACCAGGACACGTTGACTGTCCTGGGAACGCCTCAGGATAATCCCAGATGAGCTGTTTGTGGATGTGGAAGTCTGTACATCTCTGACAAACAGACAAACAACATGGACTATTCATAAATTTAGGTATCCCAGCTTTAACATTCAATTAACAATGTATAATGTGTTTTAAATTGTGTGAAAAGCCCTTCTAGGGACAGACATTGCAAATTATCCTTGGCTATAAACGTTGTGGTGTTTCACATTTTGCTTGTGTACATTTGAATAAAAACAGAAACATGGAAACAAATCGGAAAAGCTTTCAATTTTCTCTTTACCGAGTAGTTTTGTGAAAAGCCAGATCTATTTCAGTGACATATATAAATACAGTTTCACCCAATCTTGCGCAAATTCCTTCATGTGTACTGCCATTAACAGAACATGTTGAAGATTGTGACTAAAGGAATACAATATCTGTTTTTGCATATGAACTCAATAAAACTTAAATAAATCAATAAATGAATGAAAACATGAGTGAACCAGTCACAAAGACTGGGCGTGTGTAGAGACGGTACCTGCTTTGACAGCTCTGTTACTCAGAGAGCCGTAGTTCTTGGCCTGGGGCTGGTGCAGATACATGCTGTAGATGGAGCTGCTGTTCATAGTCGCGGGACCCTTACGAGGCGACTGTGGCCTGGACGAGTGCTCCGGGACGTACGGCCGCACTGCCACCGCGGGAGGGTGGTCCGACCGCTCTGTTTGAGGAGATAGTGAACCTGAGCAGAAATCATCATCAAACAGATCAAAACGAATAAGATGGAAACAATCTTAAATCAGCCTGGAACGTACCTTGATTTGGCGGGACAGAAATGCGCTGATGGATTTGCTGTGAGGAGGAGGATGAGGCGTTGGAGCCGGAGCGAGGCCAGCCCAGAGTGCCCGGGGCGGAGCGGGGCAGGGAGCTGGTGGTGGTGTGGTGGGCCAGCTGGTGAGTGGCACTGGGGTATGTACCGTAGCCGGAGGAAATCGGCTGAGGAAAAAAGATTACTGCTATTTTTGATCTGGTCTTGAACAGGCCAATGTCATTTTAATAGTGCTTATAATAATAATAATAATAATACTAAAAACAATAATAAAAATAAAGTTAATAATAGTGTGAAAAATACAGATAATAATAATAATAATAAAATGAAAAATAAAAACAATTATAATATTAATAAAGATAATAATAATATGAAAAATACAAACAATAATAATAATAATAAAACATTTTTTGTAATGCAGTTTACATATGCAAACAAATGGAATGACTACAGCAGGTAAAAACCCACATCATAATAAACACATTACAAAATATGACATTTCCCAACTGTGGGACGAATAATCTTCCATCCATCCATTTTCTACCCTTTAATCCATTTCTGGGTCAGGGGGGTGGCAATCAGAGATGCCACCCAAGTCTCATAGCACCAGCCCCTCACTGACCCTCTGCAGGTGGTGAGTCCACAGGAGGACTCCTGTGGACAAATAATCTTATATTTTATTTTATTTTGTTCATACCTGCTCAGGACTTTTGTTTCTCCAGTCGGAGGAACTCTTGCTCATGCTCGGCCAGGATGCTTCGTTGGCTAAAGAGAAGACAGGAGGTTGGGTGTTATGGACGAATTAGGGAGAAAAAAAAGATAGACGGGGGATACAAAGGTCATTCATTCATTCATCAAATGCTTTGATAAATGAATGGAGTTAGAAATGCATGTAAAAAATATTTGTGTTTTGTTATAATCCAATTCTTGCTTTTCCTATTATATTTGAATAATTTATTGTACAACATTGAAATGACTTAATTAGGATTTGACCAGCCTGATCAAAGGGCCTCATCAAGAACCACTTGTAATTTGTGTTTTTTATATGCACTTGAAGTCCTCCATGGTGATTACAGGCATGCACTCACACATGCACTCACACATGCACGCACACATGCACTCACAGGTACACGCACACACGCACTCACACATACACTCACACACGCTCACACATGCACGCACACATGCACTCACACATGCACGCACACATGCACTCACAGGTACACGCACACACGCACTCACACATACACTCACACACGCTCACACATGCACTCACACATGCACTCACACATGCACTCACACATGCACTCACACATGCACTCACACATGCACTCACACATGCTCACACATGCACTCACACATGCACCCACACATACTCTCACACGCTCACACATGCACTCACACACACACTCACACACACGCACACACACACACACGCACACACACACTCACGCACACGAGTAAGGAAAGCACTTGTTTGTCTGAACCTAAAGCCGTCTGAGCAAGAGTACGTTTGACCCAGAGTGCATTATGTAACTGAGGTGAGAGGACTGGTCAGCCAAGGTCACCAGTGAGGGATAATGGACAGAACACTTTCACATGGACTCACTACTAATGCTCAGGACAATCTTATTGCGCTGTGAAACAGAGATGCGTTATTGTGTTCCTCTTGAGAATCTAAGTAGAACTGGATGCTTTTTTTCTGATTGACATATTTCAATGTCAAATGAATATTTAAACTGGTTATCGCATTGTATTCACACATGATGATAGCCATTTGATTTAATTCGTCTGAAAACCTGTCCCCAAAAGGATCCCAAAGTGATAAGAAACAAAACAGTGTTAGTTGTGATTAAACATAACACAGAAGGTCATGGGAAAGGTCAGATTACTGTCCATGTGTACACAGACTTTAGCAGACCTCCCATAGACTGTTATGTCAGTGTTGTAGTTACCTGAGCAGACTAATACTGATTAACCAGTAAAGCAGGCAGTTCTAAGCTGGTCCTGCAGACCACTGCGGAGACCTCATGACCCCAGGTAAGACCCGCCTCAGAAAACAAACAACATATCTGGACCTGGAGCAACACCTGCTCCACGACACCATGGAATGTCAAAGTCAAACAAACTGATGGTATTTTTCCAGCCCTAAGTCAATGTTTTGGACCTTGTCCCTGTGATGCTTTTCCTCCACAATATTAACTTTCCCCGCTGACATTTTGTGGATAGCTTTAATCTGTGCAGTGAGCAGCAGCGATCAGAGCGTTGTGGTAATCTGGTCTGTGCACGTCTCTCTTCCTCTCGTTCACAATCACAATGTACCGCATGGACATGAGTTATAGTGGTTTCCACATTACATAAGCAGCAGCCATAAACAGAAAGGTGGCATCTGCTCTGGCATCCCGCAAAGGTCCAGGAATCATTTCAGAGAGTCAACTTTGAGATATTCTGTACAATAAATGGTAAGTTACTTATAACTTGGAGGCACTTCAAGTTAAATGTTATCAATAATAACACACACAAGAAGCAATGTTATCAATAATAACACACAAAAGAAGCACATGTGTTTGACATAAACCTATGACACACACCTGTATATAATATTAGACCTCTGTGACTTTCATCTTGCGTCTGTGCAGCACTGTGGGAACTGTTTTTTATCAAAACAAAATGGGCTCAAACAAACAAAGTGAATTGAATTAGAATAGGGAAGTCTGGGCGTCTCTGCTGCCCCCGCGACCCGGGAATGGATGAAGAATTAGTATAGTATCTTAGGATAGAAGAAACGTCAATCAGTTTCATATGTACCTTTGCCCAGGATGGCCTCTGACCTTATGTTTTAGTCTTTGTTATGACGTGGTGCAGCTGCTGAGTGTCCGGTGTCATGTTTGGGTCTAACATTCTGCACTTTGTATTTAGAGGTCACTTTGAGCTAATTTAATAATGTTCTGTTCAACCATCTGCCCACTAAGCAAGCCGACGTTGAATCAACGTAATTTGAACGTCGTTGTCCGACGTAGAATAGAGGTCACTGGTGGGTGCAGAATGAAAGTTTTCTCGACGTCGTTTCCCGACGTCACTTCAACCTCCAAATGTTACGTTGATGGCACGTCAATTCAAGGTTTGAATGTGGTACGGAACCGGTCGGGTCTGACGTCCTATCAACGTCTCATATGACCAAAATATTGACGTTTATATGACGTTCGTTTTCAGTCGTTCCCACTAAGCAAGCAGATGTCAAAACTATGTCATTTCAACGTCATCTGGACGTTCATTCAAGGTTGCAATGTGGTACAGAACCGGTCGGGTCCGACGTCCTATCAACGTCTTATATGACCAAAATATTGCCTTCATATGACGTTCGTTTTCCGTTGTTCCCACTAAGCAAGCAGATGTCAAAACTATGTCATTTCAACGTCATCTGGACGTTATCTGGACGTTCAAATGACATCGCGGCCACTTCATTCAAGGTTGCAATGTGGTACAGAACCGGTCGGGTCCGACGTCCTCTCGACGTCTTATATGACCAAAATATTGACGTTTATATGACGTCCATTTACAGTCCTATTGACCTCTGCAGAATCACTCACTGGTCGAGACATACTTTTTGCAATAGGCAAGGCAAGTTTATTTGTATAGCACAGTCAAAACAAAAGGAAACTCAAAGCACTGAACAAAAGATAGAAACAATCAAACAAGGCATTACAATTATAAATATTGACTGTAAATTAAAAAGAAACAAATAAAATCTCTCATAAAATCTCTCAGTTGAAGCAGAAACAGAAGTGTTTTAAACCTGGATTTTAACATTGTCAAAGAAGAAGCCTGTCTCACATTTCCAGGAAGACCGTTCCAGATTTTAGCCTTGTGAATCTGAAATGCAGCTTTATCATGTTTAGTTCTGACTCTGGGCAATAAACGATAAACACAGCATTCAAAAATCATTAGAACAACTGTAGTAGAAGGATATCAGTCATTATTGCAAATGGAGCTGCATTAAAAATCATGTTTCTCTACATCAAAGTACAAGTTAAACCACACAGGGCACAGTGTTATGAACACTACTGTACTGAACAGTTCATGCCAAAGTAAAAAAACATGATTGTAGCGCCTATGTTTGGATCAGTATTAAAACAGGCACAAGCTACACTCTAGGTTCCCCAGATGTAAAAACACAATCTGAAAGGCAGAAGAATGCATTTATTGAATGTTGAGGTTCCAACATGTGTCCTCTCTTGGTCTTCAGTCTCATAAGGTCCAAGCACAGCACCTGAAAATGTGGAACATGTTTAGTTTCAACATAATGTGGCAAAGTGATATAACAACACATAACTTTCTATTAATGCCTCAAACCACTCGATCCATCACCATGTGATACAAACCTTGGCACTAGCTCGAGACACTGGAAGACACTCCGTCTGAGAAACTTGGGATAAGGCTTTGGTCATTGGAGTAATTCCATGTAAAAAACAATTGCAAATGTGCATTTGTTTTGCACATGGACACAAATGAGCCCTGAAAGCTACTTACCCTGTATTACTCTACACATGTTGCATTTCCGAGGGGGCATTTTCCCCTTGTTGCTCTTTTCCCTCATCTTGAGTGAGTTGCTGAACAATCTGAGAAAAAGATAGATGTTTTCAAAGAGAATACACCAAATAATGGTTTATTCTAAAAACAACATATTAATACAGAACAACAATCAATGTGTGAGAGTGTGATTCTTACCTTTGAACACCTTCAACACAGTCTGACACCTGTAAGACTCAAACACACATGACACATTAGGAATACACATAGAACATTAGTTATTGCAACAATCATGAAATTATACTCTATGGATTTCACAATAATTGACTGCATTAGCAAAGGTAAATGTATTTTAATTAACATATGGCTGGTTTTAAAGTTTATAAGAAAAAGTAAGAAATTGAATAGAGTTGCAAGCGCTAGTTAGCTTGCTACCAGCAGATGAATGGATATTTAATATTTGCAGCTAACAATAACAAAAATAACGACTGTAGTGGCTCATTTAAACAGCCACAGTGAGAAGAAGTGAAAGTCTCTGACATTGAAGACCTGGGAAGACATTAAATCAATTTATTAAACAAAGCAATACATGAACATTAAACTCTCTGTCTGCAGCAGGTAACATCTGTGTGCTCCTATGGTCCCACATGGTCCCACACCTGAACTCAACTCCAACTGATGACATCACAGGTGTCTAAATGATGGGAGTGTCCCAAATATTAAAGCTGATCTCCCTGTTTTTAAACTTAGTTTACTAAGTACTGTTGTCTTTTTGCAGTTTATAAACCATTGTGAAATATACAGTAACTTTACATTTTAGAATTGAATTATTATTTTAAAACTCAAGAATCTTAACCTTTTTTAACACATACTTTGTTGGACAGTCTAACCTAAGAATTCTAATGTGTTAAAAATAGTTTGAAATATGAAAAACAATATCATATTTTAAACTTTAACTTAAACACTAAAAAAAGGTGTCTCCCTTTCAGCTGAGCAGTGCCAGCCGTTATTATTATAGATTCATGCACTGGCAATTCAAAATACAGATAATATACAAAATATACTTAACAAAATCCACGTATACGTGAGAAAACAACTTACTTTCTGTCTCCAACTCTTTTCAATGTGGAAATGATACATCTATATCTAAAAACTGTGCAGACTGTGTACTTACTAGAGAGGATGATTCCAAGTAAATAAAGCAGGGCAGCGACAGAGGTACAGATTCAACGTCATATCAACGTCTGGGAAGACATTGCTTTACGTCCAGATGCACACCTTACGTCGTTTAGACGTGGAAAACTGGTCCTCGACCGAGCGACTCACGTGTCAGGCTGTAAAGTTATAAGTTATACTCGCGCGGCGCATAAGTGTGCGTCGGTTGTTTAGGGTGTTATCTATTATTTTTTCACGGTAGTCAGAAGAAATGCCTGGCCGTGGTGTAGCGGTTGCGTAATGAGACTTCAGTCGCAATGACGCGGGTTCAAATCCCCGTCGGAAAACTTTTGACTTTTCACTTTTTAGCGAACAATTTTTCTGTTTGGTTAAAAACGAATAAACACTCAACATAAGATTATGTAGTGGCTAATAATAAAACTTGTGAACCCATGCATTTGCATAAAATCTCAAGTGCTCACCCCTTATTTGCAAACTTGAGATTGTTAGCACAACAAATGCATACATTCACAAGTTTTATTATTAGCCACTACGTAATCCTATGTTGAGTGTTTATTAGTCTTTAACCAAACAGGAAAAAATTGTTCGTTAAAAATCAAAACAAATATATAAAGATAATAATGCACACACGTGGGCTCGAACCCACGTAACCAAGACTGCACACGTTTGCTTAACCACTACACTACCTTCAGGTTCACTTATATTGCTTCACAGCCTTTATATTGTATTGCTAGATCAAGACGTACTGCGTCGGTCGGCCGATGACCTGTTTTCGACGTCTAGGGGAGGTCGGGATTGAACGTCATATCCACGTATATGGGAGGTCATTGTTTTACGTCCAGATGCGCACCTTGCACAGACGTCGTTTGGACGTAAATAAAAGGTCACGACCGACCGACGCGATATTGACGTGATCTGGAGGTTGAGTGGACGTCGGATGTTTAGTGGGTGCTCTTCATCTCTGCTCTGTCAGACTTCTCTTCAGCCGACACAGACTGCAGATACAATAGGAGCAGGCAGGGCCGTGGCCGCCTGTCACGAGGCCCTTCACTATCATCACTCATGCACTCACTGTTGTCACCATCAGCCTCCCACTTCTCCTGGGACGCACTGATGACCAGGTCTAAATCGGACACTTTCCATTGGCTGGGAGGCTTCTTAACCGCGCTCCTGTCCTCCTCTGTGAGGGTGCACCGAGTTCAAGAGCAACAAGGACAAAAGTAGGGGATCGACCAGGACAGAACACATCATCATGGTGCCCCACAATGATGTCACAATCATTTACAAAAACGGGGTAATGAACAAAAAACAACATTTAAGGGTGAAAAGCGGGGTGAGAAATCCAAAAAAATCAATTAGCGTAATGTACTTCAATAGTAAATGTAGTGATAAGAATGCAATGGTTGTGCTCACCTGATAGAGAGCGGGTATGACTGAGAGGGGTGGGCTTGGTGGGGGGGTCCGGAGGCAGAGGGGTTTGCCTGTTCTCAGATGGGACCTGGATGTAAGGACACACCGCTGCCACACGTCCCGAAACATTGCCCCCCGAGTGGGAAGACATCGCCGGAGTCGTGGCCCCTCCTCCATTCAGACGGGTTAACTAGAAAATGAAGAAGAAAAATTATTGTGTAAATGCTGGTATGAGTCGTACGTAACTAAAGGTGAAGGAGCGGGGGCTGAACCTCGGCCTTCTTCTTGTGCAGCCGCTCTCGCAGATCTCCGATGCGCTGGTCCATCATGGTCACCTGAGTGTTCCTCTTGTTCAGCAGATCCTTGTTTTGGGCCAGTTTACTGCTCTGCTCCAGGTTATGACGGTTTCGGGCCTGGTAAAGAGTCCACACACAGCTCAATCAATACGGTTCATTCTTATACAGTATACAGACCAAAAGTTTGGACACACTTTCTCATTCAATGGGTTTCCTTTCGTTTCATGACTATTGACTGTAGATTCACACCCAGGCTGTGTAAGGGCTGTTTGAACAATAAGGAGAGTGATGGTGCTGGGCCAGATGACCTCCACAGTCACCGGACCTGAACCCAATCCAGATGTTTTGGGGTGAGCTGGACCACAGAGTGAAGGGGCCAACAAGTGCTAAGCATCTCTGGGAACTCCTTCAAGACTGTTGAAAGACCATTTCAGGTGACTACCTTGAAGCTCATCAAGAGAATGCTGAGAGTGTGGGAAGCAGTAATCAGAGCAAAAGGTGCTACTTTGAAGAACCGAGAAAATAAAACATATTTTCAGTGATTTCATACTTTTTTTTTTGTCCCTACATAATTCCATTTTCATAATCACGAAAATAAAAAACTTGGTCTGTACTGTACATTGTGCTCATTTTGCCCATTTTAAACCAGTGTCTCATACTAATTAGTGCATGTGACGTTGACTAGTCTGCGCAGTGGGTCTGATGTGAAACTGAGCAGTAGGAAAAGGACAGAGGGAGAAAGGCCCATCTGGAGCTGGACTTTCGGTACATTTCTGCACATGAGCCAAAGGAGGAACAAGTCAGAGGTGATAGGTGCGTGTGTGAAATACCCCGGGACAGAAGACTGAACGGGGAGTGGAATGGTTTGGATGTGGGTGGGACAGTTCATTAAAACATTATACATCCAAAAGACAGAATGAAGACGTGTGGTGTGAAAAAAGTAAACACCGAGTCAACACACCCACAGGGCACTTCGAAAACAAAGCTGCTCAATCCCTCGTGGGGAGCACTATTTTCTCTGCTTTTAGAGTGAGTAAGTAAGTAATCTTTGTTTTTATAGCGCATTTTTACAGACCAAGGTCAGTCAAAGCCCTTTACAATGTTCAGAGTTCAGATAATTTTCCATTTCCCTCCACTCGTGGTAATGACGGAAGCAAGACGCAGATCACACTGGAGCATCAAAGCCTCCAACCAACACCCTCCATAACATTCATACATATTGTGCATGTTTTTAGTAGTACGGGAAACCTAAGGGAGAAACTCCACTTTTCTTACTGACAAGCGAGAGATGGTAAACAGATATTGCGCTGATTGTACTCACTAAGAACTTAACAGGATTACATTGAGAGCACGTTTGGAGCAGTGTCTTTCTGATGATGAATGTACCTGTAATTCGTGATATAGTTTCCTCAGCTCGATGGCCGCCGGCCCGGACAGAGGTGACCCTTTCTGTCCGCTGATGTGAGTGCCCTGGGGCCCAGTGGGTGCTCCCTGCTGAGGCCCTAACGAATGCAGCTGCAGACGACCTCTCCTCAGATCGTCCAGCTGCTGCGTCAGCTAAAAATACCACAAATGGACAATGAAGCGACTTCATCTGGATCTCTTCTTTAAGCCCGTCTGTGTAACGTACCTGGTCGACCCGGATGACGGCCGTCTGCAGCTCGGCCTGTTTTTCTTGAAAGAGATTGCTTACGTGCTCGATCTCTGCCGCTGAGGGAAAGGGGGGAGAAATTACTCAGCAAAATGTGAAATTGAAGCAAGCCATCCGTTATGACTCCCTCTTCATCATAATTAAACTATTACGACCACGCAGCAAAGAAGAGATTCAGTGGAAGCATATGGTGCCGTTAAACCGCTCAAAACCTACCACAGGAAGAAGAATGACTACTGAGACTTATACAATAGAAATACACAAGCCAGACTATGAAGAAAACACTCTCTAAAATGGTCTGAAAAGCTCATTATGCATTATGTGTGTTCATTTTGGACCTTAAACATGATCTGCAGAATGTTGACATTGGTCTTTCTTAAAGTGGCAATATGTAAGATTGCCCTAATCTGTAAAAAGTGATTAATAAACCACTCGTTTAAAATACTTCTGTAACTGATATAAGTAGTTCAGGGTTATTTGAATTTCAAAATTAGTTTTACAGCCTCTAAATCTTGTTTTCCTTTCGATGTGGCCCGCCACCGTTTCACCAATCAGAAAGTCTGTGGGGTGCCAGAACTCACCGCGTCGAGCTAATCTCACTGGTAAAGTACCATGTGGCCACAGAACAAAAAAAGATCTTGTTATGATTTTCAAATCATTAACGACAAAACAAGGAATAAAACCAGTATTTCTATCTTTGTGGATAAAAAGTGTTGGTTTTTTGATTTGTTGTTGACAAAACTATTGCAGTGGTTCCAGAAGTTACTGATATTAGAATAGATCTTAAAAACAATTGTTTTGGTGCAGAAATGTGTTGACATTTTGGTTAAAAGCTCAAAAGAACAAGTTAATAATAGTGCTTTAACATAATGTGTTTTACCTAAATTAAGAAATATAAAACTATAAAAACAGTTCATGACGTGTGATGATCGGGCTTTTAACCCTGCGTCGGGGCAAAATTAAAGACAATTTTCAAACATCTAGACAACTATGTCATAAAGTCCCCCAATTAGTTCTGGTTTAGTTCCATCATTAGTTTTCAAATGCATGTATTTTTGGCTCTGTATGAACACGACAACTGTAACAACTTTTTTTTTTTTTTTTTTTTTTTCATCCAGAACCTATTATTTATTTAGATAATTTTTTCAAAGCACAACTGCACTCTCTTTTTTGTTTTTTTATTAATTCATGTACCTGACCAATAGAACATTTACTTTGGGACAGTAAAGTTTATCTTATCTTAGTATGCAAAAAAAGAACATGTTTTACGACAGGATGGAGACGGCCTGTGGTGTTCTGATTTGCTCACGATAATCAAAAATAATTATGAATGAAACAAAAAGAGTTTGGTACCCCAGCTCTGACTCAAGCGCTTCATCATACAGTATTTGTTGTGTTTGCTTTGTGCATAGTTTTGAGATGCCATTAGAATCTATCAGTGCTTATAACAACAGAACAGACGTACACAGGTTTCCATTGATCAGTTTGCTGTAGTCCACTTGGCCCCTCATGGCTCGGATCTTCTTGAGTTTGGCCTCCTGTGTTTCCACGCGCTCCTTTAATCGCTGCAGTTTCTCCGCTTCGGACTGTGGAGGTCCAACACAAGAACAGACTCAACATTTCTGCAAAAGGTCTCAGTAAAAAAACACTTTGCTTATGTTTGATTGACAGAAGACATCCATACCTGAGACTGGGCCTGGCTGCCGCAGCCGCCCTGCTGCACGTACCTCAGCCTCTGCTCCTGCAACACAAGACGAAACTATGAAAGCAGTGGATAGATTTACAGATGGGGAAGTGCGTGTTTAAGTTTGGAGAGTTACAATGCCACTCAATGAGAAAAGATTAGATAAGAGATTTGTTATTCGTAGTAAGTAAAGGACAGTAGTAAGAGCACACAAAATAAGAAGCTGCTAGTATGTTTTTTTAGCTAACTCGAAATGCTTCAATATCAATCTTCCAAAATATATATATATGGCCTTGTCCACACTAAAGGGTACAAGAGTGTGACAAAAAGCCAACAATTCATAAGTAGAACTAGACTGTTTGATAAATTCGTCACATGTTCAATAGCGGCTTTAACACATTGTAACATTCTACTACTACTACTACTACTACTACTACTACTACTACTACTACTACTACTACTACTACTACTACTACTACTACTACTACTACTACTACTACTACTACTACTACTACTACTACTACTACTACTACTACTACTACTACTAAAGAATTATAAATACCAAATCATGTTTTTCCGGGCCATCTGTAAACTAAGAATATTATCCTTCCTGCTTCTCAAAGTGTCACACCAAAGCTTTTAATATATTTTTCTCTCTGTCTTATCAAGTAAAAGGCCAGATTAGTTTGAGTCATAAAACTGCCACACACACACACACACACACGTTTATTGTATTCTGTTGGGTCCGTATCCATCATTGTGACATATAAAACTCACTTATAGCTCTCATAACTGAATGTAAAGTTTTATAGTTTTTACAATTTTTATTGACTTCTGAAAGAGTATTCAAAAAAACTACTGCTAATAACAACATCAAGCCCATGTCTTTACCAGGCAATCACTGTACGCCATCCATCCATTTTTTTTTTTTTCCATCCATTTTCTACCCTTTAATCCATTTCTGGGTCAGGGGGGTGGCAGTCAGAGATGCCACCCAAGTCTCATAGCACCAGCCCCTCACTGACCCTCTGCAGGTGGTGAGTCCACAGGAGGACGGCTGCTCTCTGAGTGTGAGCATAGCCTTGATCTTTCAGTGGGGGCTTTGGGCAAAGTGGGGTTAAGTGTCTTGCCCAAGGACACAACGACAGCAGTCATCAGTGGGAGTCGGTGGAGAAGGTGCAGAGGTGGGAATTGAACCCACGACCTTCTGGGCTTAAGGCCAATGCTCTACCAACTGAGCTACTGTCGCCCCCAATCACTGTACGCGCCATACTGTATATTCAGCCAGCCACACATTATAAACCAGAGGAGGAGGTAAAACAGACAGGAAAAGGCTATGTGCAATGCTGAGGATGCAGTTCTGGCAGTAGTAAAGCTGACCGGCCACTATCCCATACACACACACACACACACAGGAATGTTGCCGGGCAGCACCGTGGGTCACCTAAACGCTAATAATAAGTTATGTAACGCCGGCTTGTTTTACTATGATGCAGATGGCCTTCGGAGGTGCAGGCGCCGTAGCAATAACACAAGATGGATGTGTTTAATCAAGAATATGCAGTGATAGTAAGTGTGTAAAAACTGCATCGTCACAGAGGAGGAGGAGGAGAGAGGGAGGCACTTACTGGAAGGAAATATTATAGCTTTTAAAAGTGCTGAGTAGATAAGTTTAGTGGCCTTGGAGTGTGTTGTCGGAGAGAGTTCAGATTATCATGAGGTGAAGAAAGGGAGGAGATAAAATACTATACCGCCATTTTATTTTGTCTTTACTTGTACTATAACAGCTACTATCAGAGCGACCACTTCAAATGTCATTTACTTTTCAAACTGTGAGGAGAGAGTGACATTTTTCAAAGTCAAGAACTGGTTAGACCCACCCTTGCTCACCCCGCAGCCTCCTGATTGGTCGATATTAATTCAAAACCTTGAGGCCCCACATCGTTGGTTGGACTGGTTTTCCTTCAGCAAATCCAGTTACGCCAACGGGATGGACTATTTTAAATATATTATCGTTGAAAAAAAGTTACTGCACATAATAGTCCAGTTCCCATAGTTACAAAATGTATTAGGGGTGGGAACCTAAGGGTACCTCACGATACGATACGATACGATACACGATACAAAGTTCACGATAACGATATTACGATAACGATTTTATCACGATATGACGATTATTGATATATTGGTCAGAAATATACAATATGCCAATTTATGGCATAAATAAAAGAAAAAATACTCCTTATTTCATGATAAATATAATGGAGATGCGTAATGTAGCCATATATTAAGTATTGATACCAATAAAAAAAAAAAAATCAAAATTCAAAATTGATATCGATACTTCGCAAATGCATATCGATAATCAAATCGCGGGAGAAAGTATCGCGTCACACCCCTAAAATGTATGCTATTGTAAAAATGAAATATATTTTAAGTTGCTGACATCTACAATTGACTACTATTACTATAATGTTGATAGATAGATTCCATGATAGAGATGCTCCCAATAATTACTGACTAAAGAAAAGACAAAAGTTTAAATACCTAAATGTATCACTATTTTAAAATCAATTTGTTTCTCAATGCGTGGCACTCCTCTTTGGTAGATATTGAGAAACCATAAGTAAAAAGCAATAATAATGGCCTCATATAGTTAACATTAAAATTAAAATTACAATCTAATTTTTGTTGCCTAAATCCAATCTGCCTGTCACACATATCTAACTCACAGATTACTGATGCAATCCATCTGCTGGGCTTTAGTTATAAACAGAGTTAAAAAAGATAGATCCAATACATTGAGCGCCTCATTCTGCTCTCTGATTGAATAATCTGATTGGAGTCCTACATAAATAAGTAAATGTTTTGAAATAGACATCTTAAGGTAAATACATTTTAAATACATATTTCCCAAGGCCAAGTATAAGAGTCAGGTTTGTGGGGATGCAAGCCTGTTCATACACTTGTCTTTTGTCCTCAGATAATAACAAAAACATGAACTAAAAGTAGAAAGAAGTAGAGCTATCATTTATGAGAAAAGTGGCCAACAGAAAATCTAAAATCTTGGTATTTTGTTTCACAGTAAAGCCTATCCCTGACCAATGCCCAGGACGAAATACCAAGATTTGTAGCGAGACCTGTGCCCTGCAATAGTGAGTGTGTGTGGTCATCTCCCATAAGCCACTGCTGCTCTGGGACCGCCGCTTTCTACAGTGAACAGGTTGCACGCACATGGACCTGATGCACACTCGGACGTTACCTTGGCGACCAACATCTGCTGCTGAGCCTCGATCTGCTGCTGTTGCCTCGTGGCCATTTCCTGGAGCTCGGAGAGAGTCAGCTCCACACGAGGAACCTGCAAAAAAACACATGCATTTATAAGATAAGATAAGATAAAGAGATCATTTATTCGTCCCACCGTGGGGAAATTTCAGTGTTGCAGCGCACACACAGGACAGGGGTAAGAGCACAAAAAATAAACAAAATAAGTAGTAGCTATGTTTCTTAACTAGCTGTAAATGCTTCAATATCAGTCTTTAAAAAAATATATATATACAGTATATATTAAGTAGTGCAGAGTTATATACTGTACATACTGGTGTTGACAACCTGAGGGTACATACCAGCCAACGGATACAGTAACAGAGAATAATAAATATATAACAAAATCAGAAAATAAAACAAACAAAAGTATTTAGAGCTATGTATTCAGCTAATATGAACAGTTAGCTTACAGACAGTCCAAAAGGGAGCAGGTGGCTTTAACATTAATACTGTAACTGTACAGTGTAAAGCTGAATATGAATAAAAATACATAATTAAAAAACAATTATTAAAGTAATGTGCAGTCAGTTAGAGGCAGATTCAACCACACAACAGAGGGTTGAGCTACAGTCACACCTGTTGCTAAGTTAAAAGTTAGACACCCCAGCTTTAACACTATCATAATTCTCAAACTGCTAGAACTCCCAGAGCCGTCATTGTGACTGCTCCCATTGAAACCGAGGGAACAAACTGGAATTCCACCCAAATGTATCAAAAGTGAGTAATTTATAATGTATTTGTTTTACCTTTTCTCTCTGATCTGGGATTAAACTGGTGAATATAACGAATACAGCAGAAACATGTGAGAGGCTAAATGCTAACTGCTGTAAATAGCGTGTTACTATGGCAACCAGCACTTGCTCTAAAGTTAAAGAGATATTTGAATTTCTAAATTAGTTTTCCAGCCCCAATCATTTCATTTCAATGTCTCGCCCTCCACCGTTTTACCAATCAGAAATTCCGTGAGGTATTGGTTATAGAACTCACCGCGTCGAGCTGATCTCACTGGTACAGTACCATGTGGACGCAGAACTAAAAAAGGTCTTGTTATGATTCTCAAATTATAAACGACAAAAACAAGGAATAAAACCAGGATTTTTATCGGGTCCTTTGTGAAAATGGTGTTGGTTAAAGACCTGTTGCTGACAAAACTCTTGTCTATCCCAGCTCAATTCGTCTGCATATCTGGCAACCTGAGTCAGGCAGAGTGCAGTACCACTTTTGGTCAGATTTTTAACATACTGCTCCTTTAACTTTTGTTTTTACTCTCTTTAATTGTACTTTTTAGTTGTAAGGTGATTCTGAGTGTCCAGAAAGGCGCCTAAGAAATAAAATGTATTATTATTTTTATTATGAGTCGTAGTAGTAGTAGTGTCATGGAGGCCTGTGATGTGAATGAGAGATGCCTGGACTCATCTGCCCTCATCTATCACTGTCAGCTGGAAAACTCAAACTACACTGCTCAGTTTTCTTATATTCTGACTGATATCTAAGACCGTGCAACTTAACCAGCCCCTGCAAGTGTCCTGGGGCACGAGTTCCAGTGATTTACAAGCTCCATGGAGGAAGCGTGTCACCGGAGAGGAGCGAGTGGGGTGGGAACAGGAACCACAGCTGCTTGGACACATCCTGCAATTGTGTTTAAGAATATTCTGCATTTTTTGAAACAGGAAAATGCAGACGGACTGGTTCTACGGCGTGCCTCGGTAACCGGCTGGTCTGCACAATGACATCAGCTCCTCAGAGTCATCAGAAAGATAATCCTGGTGGTTTCTCTGTATATTATCATTAGGCAACAGCGTGAAACAAGCTGTGAAAGGTGCACTTCATGGGAACCACAAGCTTTGAGACCAATGTTTAAATGACTTTTGTGCGTATTTATGTATTATAGTTTCATTAAAGTAGCAATATAAGTCATCATTAAATGGCTCTAATCTGTCAAAATAGTTGAAATAATTTAGTAATTTGTTGATCCATTTTGTCATGGAGAAAATTAAACTTTTTGAACAGAAGCACCGGTTAGACCCGCCCACGCTCGCTCCTGGAGCTTGCTGATTGGTCGAAATTAATTCAAATCCATGAGGCCCCTTAACTATTGTCATCAAGAAAAGCATACAGGCCATATGCTTTTGTTGATGACAAGAAAAGCATATGATAAAACTACATTTGGACAAACTGTGCTGTCAGTCAGAGGAGGTCAGTCTTGGAACAACCTTCCTACAGACATAAGAGAATGCCCAACATATAGCTCTTTTAAAAATCAACTAAAACACCATTTTAAAGTAAATCAGTCCTGCACTCATTTTAACTAACTGTAATTTCTATAATTGTATATTGTCCTTTCGTATTATTATTGTTGTGTGACCTGCCTCGGGACTACGGATGTAAATTAGCAGTTTTGCTACAATCTGGCACATTTACAATTTGTGTACAACTTGTATATGATTGTTCATTAATGTGTGTTGTCCCAATCAAATAAATAAATAAATAAAATAAATAAAAATAGTTATGCCCGGAGTAGTGACTATTTTAAATATATTATTGATGAATAATAGCAATAGTACAGTGTCCCATGATCAGAAATATACATTATTTAAAAAAAAAAAGATATAACTGAAGTTTATGACATTACCTTTAAACAAGTTGAGAAGATTTTTTTTTGACTCAGAAACGTGTATGATGACTTCTGAATGAAATAAAAACATGTTTACAACTTTTTTTTTTTTGAGTAATCAAATGTGTAGCAATTTGGGATGTAAATAATTAATGAATAATCGAAAGAATAAGCAGCCAACCAATCGATTATCAAAAATAAGCCTTATTTACAGCCATAATCTCCATTTAAATGATCAATTGCTGCAACAACGGTCCTACATGTAATTTCTCATCCTTCTCCTTCTCCATGGATAAAAATAATATCAGCAAAAACATCACCACAATCATCTGTCTTTTACTGGATTGGTTTAAAAAGTAAGTTTCTTCAGAGGAATAATATCTATGGCTGAATAGCAAACGGCCTCAGTGAGAGTTTAAACGTCTCCGTGGACCTCTGCGGCCATGACTCAAGAAAAAGCGGATGAAAAACTCCATTACCCCGAACAGAGCCCAGAGGCAACGGCAATCCTCACCATGGAGAACCAGGGCAATGAATAAAACCCACTCTCCATTTTAAGAAGCCGGGGACTTTAAGGCTCCAACTGTGCGACATTAGCCACATAAATATTGATACGAAACATCAACGGCATTACAGCTGAACGGGGCAACAAGAAGCGTCGTTTTGTTGAGCCGCTTTAATGAAATTTAGCAGAACGTTAGCATCAAGTCTTTAGATCACATTTGTCCATTACATGCATCAGGAGGGTTTTGCAGTCACTGGTGCCACATGTGATTAGCTTACTTCTGATGGCTGACTCCTGATGGCTGACTCCTGATGGCTGACTCCTGATGGCTGACTCCTGATGGCTGACTCGTGATGGCTGACTCGTGATGGCTGACTCGTGATGGCTGACTCCTGATGGCTGACTCCTGATGGCTGACTCCTGATGGCTGACTCCTGATGGCCGACTCCTGATGGCCGACTCCTGATGGCCGACTCCTGATGGCCGACTCCTGATGGCTGACTCCTGATGGCTGACTCCTGATGGCTGACTCCTGATGGCTGACTTCTGATGGCTGACTTCTGATGGCTGACTTCTGATGGCTAACTTCTGATGGCTGACTCCTGATGGCTGACTCCTGATGGCTGACTCCTGATGGCTGACTCCTGATGGCTGACTCCTGATGGCTGACTCCTGATGGCTGACTCCTGATGGCTGACTCCTGATGGCCGACTCCTGATGGCCGACTCCTGATGGCCGACTCCTGATGGCCGACTCCTGATGGCCGACTCCTGATGGCTGACTCCTGATGGCTGACTCCTGATGGCTGACTCCTGATGGCTGACTCCTGATGGCTGACTCCTGATGGCCGACTCCTGATGGCTGACTCCTGATGGCTGACTTCTGATGGCTGACTTCTGATGGCTGACTTCTGATGGCTAACTTCTGATGGCTGACTCCTGATGGCTGACTCCTGATGGCTGACTCCTGATGGCTGACTCCTGATGGCTGACTCCTGATGGCTGACTCCTAGTCAAATAAACTATTCGCCCAAAATGATATGAATTAGAGAGAGAGAGAGAGAGAGAGAGAGAGAGAGAGAGAGAGAGAGACAGTAGGTAGATAGATGAATAGATACAGTAGATAGATAGATAGATAGATACAGCAGATAGTCATGTTTATATATGTAATATAATATACATTTTACAATGTTCAGAGTTCCGATGTTTTTCTATTCTCTCCAAACATGGTGATGACAGAAGCGAGACGCCGAACACACTGGACCATCAAAGCCCCCATCAACACCATCCATTCACTCACTCATTACATTCAGACCTATTGTACATAATTTTTTTGGTAGAGGAAACCGGAGCACCCGCAGGAAACCTATACGCAGACACAGGGACAACATACAAACTCCACACAGAAAGGCCTGGAGGTGGAATCGAACCCAGGACCTTTTTGCTGTGAAACACAAGAAGTGCACAGAAAAACTCTAAGTGCAGCGCCACCGTGCCGCTTCAAGTCAATTCATGTTCCCTTCAATCCATCCATTTCTTCCGCTTTATCCATGGCCAGGTTGCAGTGGCAGTCTAAGCAGAGCCCAAACCTCCCTTTCATAAACAGTCATCCAGAGGAGAGACGGAGTTCCTCCAGCGTGTCCTTTTGGTCTTGCAGGGTCTCCTCTCCCGGCACACCTACCTAGAGAGCCTCCACAACTGTCTCCTCTTGATGTGGAGGAGCAACGGCTGTACTCTGAGCTCCTCCTGTATAACTGAGCTTCTCACACTAGATCTAACGGGGTGAGGAGGAAACTGTAAGTAAGTAAGTAGTAGTACTACTACTTACTACTACTACTACTTACTAGATCTAACGGGGTGAGGAGGAAACTGTATTTGCTATTTTGTTTTTTCAAGCCTTATGTTATTGAATG